ATTGTATGATCCACATAGAGGGATATTGCATGATTTTGCATGGTTGGTATAGGGAGATATTGCATGGTCAGTATAAAGGTGTATTGTATGTTGGGTATAGGGAGGTATTGTATGGTCCTCATAGAGTCATATTGTATGGTCTCTATAAAGGAGAGTTTTCTTTGGTCATTATAGAGGGGTATTGTATAGTCATTATAGAGTGATGTTGCATGATATAGTATAGTGGTATATAGTATGGTCGGTATAGGAGGTATTGCATGGTCCGTATAGCGTTATATAGTATGGTCGGTATAGGGAGGTATTGCATGATCCGTATAGTGGTATATAGTATGGTCGGTATAGGGAGGTATTGCATGGTCCGTATAGTGGTATATAGTATGGTCGGTATAGGGAGGTATTGCATGGTCTGTATAGTGGTATATAGTATGGTCGGTATAGGAGGTATTGCATGGTCCGTATAGTGGTATATAATATGGTCGGTATAGGAGGTATTGCATGGTCCGTATAGTGGTATATAATATGGTCGGTATAGGAGGTATTGCATGGTCCGTATAGTGGTATATAGTATGGTCGGTATAGGGAGGTATTGCATGCTCCATATAGCGGTATATAGTATGGTCAGTATAGTATGGTCAGTATAGCGGTATATAATATGGTCGGTATAGGAGGTATTGCATGGTCCGTATAGTGGTATATAGTATGGTCGGTATAGGGAGGTATTGCATGGTCAGTATAGTGGTATATAGTATGGTCGGTATAGGGAGGTATTGCATGGTCTGTATAGTGGTATATAGTATGGTCGGTATAGGAGGTATTGCATGGTCCGTATAGTGGTATATAATATGGTCGGTATAGGAGGTATTGCATGGTCCGTATAGTGGTATATAGTATGGTCGGTATAGGGAGGTATTGCATGCTCCATATAGCGGTATATAGTATGGTCAGTATAGGGAGGTATTGCATGGTCCGTATAGTGGTATATAATATGGTCGGTATAGGGAGGTATTGTAGAGTCGGTATAGTGAGCCTTTCTTTGAGCGTCTTAGTATTATCTCCATAAGGAGTCTCTGTGCTGATATAGAGTCTTTATATGGTCCGTAGAGTCTTACAGGCTCATTATAGAGGAGATCTAGGCCATCTATATTTTCTCCCTGATAGCTGCATTTTCTTATTTCTAGATCTGTTTACAGGAACGCTCTACACACCTAAAACATTTTATCTTGCAGACGGTATTTATGTGTGAAGTGTCCTCTTTTTTTAAATTTACAAAAAGTGCAGATTTCAATAGAAATTGGCACTTTTTTAAATGATTCCCTTGGCTGACATTCAGACACATATTATATACAGTTACTGTCCCTCTATCCTGCATTGACTGGTTTAAATCCACCCAACTGATGAATTGCACTTTCATCTCTGCTGCCAGCTTGGTTCCGTCCATTTTATGCACAATCCCCTACATGTTTACCTCCCCATTAATCTGATGGGGCAGTTAGCCATAGTGGGTTAGCAACAAATCCTCCCCTGGCTGTAAGCTGCCCCCAGCAATGTAAATTGGCCATTAAAAATGAATTGTACCCGTCATGTTTAGATTACTGCACTGGCCTTATTTTCCTCTGACATATTTACTAAATCATTTTATAAGGTTTTTCCAAGCTGTGAAAGACCACATCTAGTCTGTACAACGAGTAACCTTTCAGAGTGATTTTCCTGTGGTGCTCTTTAACTTTTCATTGTGTTGGTTTGACTAAATAATTGCTTGTTGATCTAGTATGTAAACTAAAAGCATACATTTTATAACTCATGAAATTAACTATTTCCTTTATTCTCTTCAGGGATTTGAGCCGTTCAGATTCGGAGTCCTCTATTCCCCACATGAGTGACCATAGATTTTCAAAAATCCCAAGCACCAAGCCCACATCCCTGCCTAGATCTTTGGAGGAACTCCCATCCAGTAGTCAAACCATTAATGGTGGCCACCGTCAGCTGGAGATGCAAGAGATACAATCCAGAAGCCCACAGCTGGAAGAGAAGATGACAGAAAAATCTCCCAGTTTAAGTGAGCTAAGCCTGGCCGGAACTACACAGTCTGATGACTCCAGGTCCCACAGCCCAAGCTCCACCGAAACAGAAACCCCTTCTCCTGGTACAGATTCCAAACATGGCTCCAAAAGCACCCGCATCCCACAGCTGGCAGGGAAGAAGACCCAGGGAGAAGATGACAGCGGTTCCACGGGGGAGGAAAATGACCCAAGCTCTGGCAAAAAGAAATTGACACTGAAAATCTTCAAGAAGCCAAAAAAATAAACATGGGGCTGGAGTCATAGAGCAAAGGAACACAGTGGGGTGACGGGAGTAATTACTGCAGAGCTCACCCTGTGTCAGATGATATATGCAGAAACAGGGGAGAGGAAGCAATGGGGTGGGTGCCAGGTCGTGATCATTTTCCCGTCCCTGAGAGGAACATCATATTTCCTAAAATCATACAGTATTGATGCAGAAATAGGGGGGGCTGCTTATCCTCGTATTTATTTCGGGGCTGCTGGCTGTACACCATTTTTCAAATACCCCCAGTTTAACTCTCCCCCCGTTAAAGGGCATCTTCGCTTTGCTATGCATGGCTTGTGGGGAGTCTTCCCTTTGCCACAAAACGAATACCCCACATGAGGGCATTGATAGATTTCTATTGGGAGAGGTTTATTGAATGAGGTAATGGGATTTATTGGGGAGGGTTTTGGAGGGACATGTTTGTATTTTTCTTCTGTTTTGTTTGTTGTTTTTTTTGTTCCTTTGTTTTTTCTGTATTCTTTGCTTATGGGCATGCGTATTAAGAAAAAAAAAAAAGTAAATTAAAAACGAATAAAAGTTTACCAATCCAGTTATAGAAGTGGTTATGGTGCCAGGAGTGGTGGTTGTAGTTGTTATGGTACCGGAAGTCTCCTGGGTCTGTCCTACGGTAAGTGGTCAAGCCATTTTCAAACAGCTTGACCCTTTCTTGGATCCTACGTTGGTCCAGCGTTTTTCCAAGTCTTTTAGATATCACTGAAAGATCAATGCCTATTTCATTTAATCAGTTTTGTTCCTGGTAGGACATCATTTATTGGTGTGTCAGCTGACGCTTTGATACAAGGCACTGTTTATCTGAAAATGAAAAAGGGATTGTCACTAATCGTTATTTTTAATGTTATGTTTACTTATATTTCGAAAATATGCATTTTTCAAGGTGAGAAAATTGCAAGTTAAATGTAGAAATTCACACCTACTTCTTTGTTTAAACGACCACTCCACACTAGGGGGAGGGGGGCACCACAGTTTAGGAAATATACCCCATTATATACATGCATATTTATTTATAGACTAAAATAGTTTTTATGACAATTTTTTCACAGAACGTAACATTCAGTCGTGTGTATTACTTTATGTTGAGTGTTTATTTGTCGTTTGATTGGCCTAATACTTAAAGGATCACTATAGGGTCAGGAAAACAAACATGTATTCCTGACCCTATAGTGTTAAGACCACCATCTAGCCACTCTGGGCCCCTCATGCCTCCATAAATATAGCTAAATCTTACTGTATTCAAGCCTGAAGCTGTAACTCTGCATGCTGTTTGCCTCAGAAACACAAGCAGTCTGCTGACATCATCAGAAGTGGTGGCCTGATCCAATTACAGTGATTCCCCATAGGATTGGCTGAGATTGACAAGGAGGCAGATCAGGGGCAGAGCTAGCATGATTCAAACACAGCCCTGGCCAATCAGCATCTCCTCATAGAGATGGATTGAATCAATGAAGTTGAAGTTCAGTGTCTGCATGCAGAGGGAGGAAACACTGAATGTTTGGATGCATTTTAGGCAGCCATAACCCAGGAAGGATCTCTAACAGCCATCTGAGGAGTGGCCAGTGAAGTTATCACTAGGCTGTAATGTAAACACTGCATTTTCTCTGAAAATACGGTGTTTACAGCAAAAAGCCTGATGGTAATGATTCTACTCACCAGAACAAATTCAATAAGCTGTAGTTGTTCTGGTGACTATAGTGTCCCTTTAATGAGAATTGTAAATGTGTCTTGTACACATCCTCAAGTTGTTGTGGTACTATTGGTGTTTGTGGTATTGGTACTTGTTATTTGTTAAATGTTGGAATAGTTTTTCCAAGTTATTTTAGGTGTTGAATTTGTTAGGTGTCTGTTGGTCCCTTTTAAACTCCTCTTCGGTAGGATCCAATCACTCTGTAGAGAAGTTATATCATGTTCAGACTGTGTTTGTAGATGACACAAAACTAGGTGAGAAAATACAGACACACGAGTTTCAAGATTCTTTATAAAAATGTTAAAGGACACTATACTCACTAGAACAACTTTAGCTTAACGAGGCAGTTTTGGTGTATAGGTCTTGTCTCTGCAGTCTAACTGCTTAATTCACTGCCATTTAGGAGTTTAGTGACTTTTTTTTTTTTTTTTTATGCATCCCTAGTCACACCTCCCCTGGCTGTGACTCACACAGCTTGCATGAGAAATATGGTTGCATTTTTCATTACATTTTACAGCACATTGTGTTTACTTTGGAAGTTTTTATCCCCTGCTCTGTAAATTTAGCTTCAGTCACCCACAGAAGGCTCTGCAAGGTCTAGGAGGCTATTAACAGTGCAAGAGATAAGAAATTCTAAATTAAACAGACTGTGCAATAAAGGGAGTGTAAACACAAGATGCCTTTTTACAGGAAGTGTTTAAGAAGGCTGTGTAAGTCATTTGCAGGGAGGTGTGACTAGGGCTGTACAAACAAAGTGATATAATGTCTTAATGGCAGAAAATTGAGCAGTGAGACTGTAAGGGCATGATCCATATACCAAAACTGCTTCATTAAACTACAGTTGTTTTGGTGGATATAGTGTCCCTTTAAAAAGAAAGTGGACCAAGGACAGAACTATGAGGCACTCCACTCACCACTTTTGTCCAATTTAAAAATGTTCCATTTACAACTTCTCTCTGTACTCCTAATTTGTCAGTGCACTATCCAAGAACACAATTTTTTATCTAAATCATCTGACGTTTATTAGTAACCTTTTGTGTGGAACTGTATCAAATGTCTTCAAAAAAATCAAAGTAGGTCACATCTACCGGGTCACCCTGATATTCATTTCTTCTAACTTCTTCATAGAATGCAAAATAACAGTTATTTTGGCATGACCTGTGTGAAAAAACTATGTTGATTCTAAATCTAATTGTACCCAAAATTAATTCTTAAATGTCACTTAAGAGCCCTTCAAATAATTTTGCAACTACATATGTTAAAGGATCACTATAGTGTCAGGAAAACAAAGCGTTTTTCCTGACACTATAGTGCCCTGAGGGTGCCCCCGTGGCTCTGAAGGAGTTAAATCCCCATTCAGCAGCTTACCTTATTCCAGCGCCGGGCTCCCTGTCCTCCCCCGCCGAGGCATAATATGCCTCCAGCGTCGCAGAGTGGCTGTCTAGAGGCTGGCTTAACCCCAAATGTTTCTCTGAAACTGCTATGTTTGCATCTGAAGGGTTATAAAATGAGGGACCTGGCACCCAGACCACTTCATTGAGCTGAAGTGGTCTGGGTGACTATAGTGTCCCTTTAAACTCACAGGTCTGTAGTTTCCATGTTGAACTTTTAAACCCTTTTAAAAGGTAGACACCACATCTGCTGTAGCACCTTGTTTCGAGTTATCCAATCACACTGTATCTGCAAGTTTTTTTGCAGCAATCATTTGCATATCGCTTGCCATAGGATCCTCAATATATACGGAAGGAAAATAGTTATTTAAAATGTCATCCTTTTCCTGGTCTTCATTAACTAATAAACCCAACTCTGTTTCCAGTGTACCTACACTTTCAGTTTTTGGTTTTTTAGAATTGATGTATTTGAAAAAAAAAAATGGGGGGTTGGTTTTGCATTCTTTAGCTATCAATTTCTCATTTTCTAGTTTAGCCACTTTAATTGCCTTTTTGCAAGTGTTATTGGCTTCCTTATTTGTCTGCTTTAAAATGCCCTTTTCTTATTTTTAATCTCTTGTTTTCCTACCCTACTAAGCCACATTGTTTCAATTTGTTTAATTTATATTTATTACCCAATGGTACATACTGAGAAATGTACCTTTCTAATATTTGTTTGAATAGTTTCCATTTATCCTCAGTGCTTTTTTAACTAAGGAGTTTATGCCAGTCGATATGTTGTAGAGCTTCCCTAATCTTATTGAAATTGGCTTTTTTTAAATTATACATTTTAGTATACCCCATGTGCTTTTTGCTTTTTTAAGTTTATTTAAAAAAATTACCATATTGTGATCACTGTTAAGAACCTTAGTGGTTATGGTACTGAGTTCTTCTATTCCTTTCCCAATAGCTGAGCATAAGTGATTATAGTTGCAGTTAGGGTGTAGAGGAATAGTGTAGATGAATGCAGCTTCCAAGACGATTCTCCCCAGCAAATAAAAGGTTACCCAAGCATGAGCCTAGACTTCATGAAGGGTACATGATGCCACACTGGCTTTTATGGGAATCATTATGCAAGAGGACCTCCCATAGTAAACAAAAGGAACAACCAATCATTGTACAGATTAACAATAAAACCCTCCCTCCCTCCGCCTGAGCGATTCTGAGATAAGTTAAGGAATAACCCAATTATCTCCAGGCAGAGAGCACACAATTTCCCCAAAACTTGGAACACCCCTTAATACACAAGGTATCCCCACACATGCCCCAATCTTGGAGACCAACATATGCAAATTTCACCCAGATCTGTTCAGGGGTTCTCAAAAAGTGTGGAAGTCTTAGTTCACCGACCGCACACAAGGCTCCTGCCCAAAACAGTTCCACGAATTCAGTGTCGGTTGGTCAATTCAGAAAACAGCATAAGAATGAATAAAAGCACGAATGGAGCCTTTAGGCTCATAGGAGCGATTGTTCCCCGTGTTCGTATGAATCAAACTACCGAACGATGCTCTCCTCGCTGTTCAGCAACAAAAGGAAGCAGGCGTTCGTATGTTTCAGCGGTCTTCAGAAAGTCGAGTGTCCGATTTTAGTTCCAGACACTCGATGACCAAGTCCCGCTGCCTCCTTTCGTGCAAACAAGACGGCCGCCGTTTTCTTTTCCACGTGGCATTCGATTATATGAACAGATGCCACCCAGAGAGCGCTTAATAGACGGTTCCCTTTGAAGATAATGAGCCAGGAGGGTGGTCGATGTTCGGTAGTTTAATCTACCGAACCAATAAATCTAAAATAACGAAATACAGCAGCAAGTCACGCATTAAAGAAGAAAATACAGAAAATAAGTATTTTCTTCACATTACTCCCCCTTAGTCCCATGGGTTGGCATACCCGCCTAGACCCTACAGGGTTGGCTTGGGGATGTCCGGGTAACATCGCTATATATCCAAGTCTGTTTGGCGGGAAAGACCATCCCGGGCGATATTGTAGGGTAAAATTGTAGGGTTGCAAAGCTAAGCTCCAGCGAAGCAACCAGGGATTGTCTCCAGAGACTTGGTTACGCCAAATGAGGGGGTTATGGTCAGTTAGTAGGGTGAATGCATGGCCATAAAGGTACGGTTGGAGCTTCTTTAGTGCCCATACTAGTGCCAGGCACTCCTCCACGATTGCATAGCTAACTTCTCGGGGTAATAGCTTACGTACCCGGGTAGGGCAGAGAACAATCCCCCGTATTCCTGGAGCAGTTGTTTTGCGTCTCCCTTCTGTGTAGGATCTAACTTTCCCCCAACCTGACCTGCTCCAGGGTACCTTGGTTAGCTTCCAGTAGGTCAGGCAAGGGGAGTCCCTCACTATCATCTGTGGACGGGGCGCAGATGGCAACCACGTCCTCAGGGCGTCCAAAATACGGCTTCAACATGTTCACATGAAAAGCCCGTCTGATCCTCTCATCTGAACATTTGGCTACAATATAGGTGGTGTCACTAATCCGCTCCACCACTTTAAAAAGCCCTTGCCAAGCCGCCTGTAGCTTGTCCTTTTTTGTAAGGTCTGAGGGCCAATACCTTTTGCCCTACTTCCAGGATCCTATCTCGTGCCCCTCTGTCGTACCACCATTTCTGTAGTTTCTGAGCCACTTGAAGGTTCTCTCGAACTGAGTCGGTCAGAGCCTGCAAGCGATCTCGGAACTCCAGTACGTAGGGTAGGACTGGGATCCCTTCCTCTCCTGTGTTGCCCTCCCAGTGCTCCCGTATGAGGCCCAGGGGTCTCCGGACTTTTCTTCCGTATAGGGAGCACTGAGCTGGGGCACTTCACGGTAGGCAAACAGGAGATGGGGCCGAAATTTCTCCCAGTGACCGTATGACTCTGTGAGCATTTGCTTTAGAGTGCTGTTGAATCGTTCACAGAGGCCGTTGGTTTGGGGGTGGTAAGGGGAGCTAAACAACGGTTTCACCCCGCAGCTCTGCCACAACTGTTGAGTCACAGTTGCAGTGAACTGCGTTCCTTGATCTGACAGGATTTCCCTGGGGAAGCCTAGCCTGGAAAAGATCTTAACTAGAGCCTCTACTACCGTCTCTGCCTCAATGTTGGAGAGCGCCACAGCCTCAGGGTATCTGGTGACGTAGTCCACCACCGTGAGGACGTAGTGTTTTCCTGAGGAGCTGGGTTTGCTGAGGGGCCCTAAGAGAACGGCTCTTCTATTATGGGCAGGGAGCGTAATTTGGCCTTAGGGTGGTCCCCCCTCTTCCCTAGTCCTTGACATGTATCACATGTCCTGCAGTAAGTCTGCAAATCATTTGATATCCCGGGCCAAAAGAACGTCTGGGTGAGGCGGTCCTTAGTCTTCTTGATACCCAGATGTCCTGCTAGCGGGATATCATGGCTGAGCTTTAGGAGCTCTGCTCTGTACTTGCGGGGCACGACTAGCTGTCTCTTTATAACTTGGGCTGCCCCACTCCCCCTGTGACCCGGTATAGGAGTCTCTTGTCCCAGTGGAAACTCTCCTGGGCATTACCCTCCTTAGGGGATCTTACTGCCTTCCTGTAATCAGCTAACATGGGGTCTGTTTGCTGAGCTTTGCCGAAATCTTGGGGGGTGCCCCAAAAAGGGACAGGGTCAGGAGACACTACGGGGTCAGTCGGAGTGTGGTAGTCACGGGACAGGTTCCGGTTGGATCTGGGTTGGTCAGCTGTGAAGTTAGGCACCCCAAATCTTGCACAACAACACTTCCGCTGGTAGGCCAGACATGATGCCTACTTCCATTTGCTTGGCCCCTGTGCCCCAATTTAAATGAACCCGAGCTGTGAGCAGCTTGTGGATGACACCTCCTGCTACTCGTAAAGCAACAGTCCCGTTGGTGCGTGCCCTTGCAGACACGGTATGAGGTTGTATCAGGGTGAGAGTGGCCCAGGAGTCTTGAAGGGCCTCTGCCTCCTTCCCGTCTACGGTGACCCACTGTCGGTGGTGTACCCGATTGTCCCCCTCTGCTTGTGCCAGGTTTACCTCATGTAGCACCGCCCACTGTTCTGTGTTGGTGTTGTTTTCGGGAGCTTCATGTTGATAATTATGGGCGGCCGCCCTTGGTGGTGGTGGTGTCGGCCAGTCCCAGTTGCCTCTGCTCCGCTGTGGGCAATGTATTTTGTAATGTCCCGGCTGGTTACATTGATGACATACCAGTGGTGGTCTCCGGTTGTTGTTGGGCTGTGAGGCTGGTGTGGAAGGGTTAGGCCTGGGAGTAGTTACAGGCCCTGGTGCTGTAGTGCTGGTCCTCACCAAATTTCGACTTCCACTAGGATCTCCTTTTCTCCCCTCATGGTACACGTCCGCTAACTTGGCCGCTTCCTCGACAGTGGTTGGCTTCCTATCTCGGACCCAGTCTCTGGTGTCTGCAGGTGAATAGTCAAAGAACTGTTCTAGCAAGAGGAGTTGCATAACCTCCTCTAGTGTAGTGGCTTGGCAGCCTCGTATCCAGTTTTGGGCTGCCCAATACATCCTAAAGGCCCATTCTGTATAGGAGTCTTGGTTCCCCTTCTGTAGGGCCCGAAATTTTTTCCTGTAGGTCTCTGGAGTCACAGCATACCTGGCTAACAGAATGTATTTTACCCTGGCGTAGTCGTGTATGGCTGTGTCAGGAACTGCTCGGTACGCCTCCGCTGCTTGGCCCGTGAGCTTGCTGCTTAGGATCGCAGCCCATTGCTCTGTTCCAGACCCTCCAAAGCGCACTGACGTTAAAAATCCTGTAGGTATGCGTCAATCTCCATCTCTCCATCCGAAAAAACTTTAAAATCAGCATAATTAATTTTTCTTCACTGCCCTCCATTTAAAGATCCAGACAACGAAGCAGTGTCTCCTTGGCTTAGGCTTGCCTGTTGGGCTCTGCTTTCTGCGCCCACCTGAGCCAGGACTTGCGACACCATCTCTGGTGTCAGATTTTGACCAAATAGGTTTAGCCTCCACATCACCTTCTGCTGGAACTCTGCTTCCTCCCGGCTGACATTCGCCACGCTTCTGGTTTGGTCGCCCTCCATCAGTTCTGCTATGAGGGTGGATCTCTTTTTGTTGCTTGCCACCTGACCTCGGGCTTCCAGCAGATCATTCAGCGTAGTCCTTTTTAGTTTCTCGTACTGCTGGGCCATTCACCAGTTGTCTTTCGGCGTCCCATTCAATCCCGTCACTTGCCACCAGTTGTTAAGAACCTCAGTGGTTATGGTACGGAGTTCTTCTGTTTCTTTCCCAATAACTGAGCATAAGTGATTATAGTTGCAGTTAGGGTGTAGAGGAATAGTGTAAGCATGAGCCTAGACTTGTTTTATTGATGCCACTCTGGCTTTTATGGGAATCGTCATGCAAGAGGACCTCCCACAATAAACAAAAGGAACAACCAATCATAATACAGATTTACAGTAAAAACCTCCCTTCCTCGGCCTGGGAGATAATGAGATAAGTTAAGAAATGACCCAATTATCTCCAGGCAAAGGGCACACAATTTCCCCAAAACTTGGAACACACCTTTATACACAAGGTATCCCCACAAATGACATGTTCATTGTTCAAATGACATAGCCCCGATCTGGAAGACCAACATATTCAAATTTCACCCAGATCGGTTCAGGGGTTCTCAAAAAGTGTGGAAGTCCTAGTTCACCGACCGCACACGAGGCTCCTGCCCAAAACAGTTCCATGAATTCACGCCGGGTGAAGATGGATTATTTCTTTTTTGTGCTCCTTTTTATTTTTTTTTTATTTTTTTTTTATTTTTTTTTTGCGTCTGTTATTATGGTTTTTTATTTGGCCTTTTTTGGGGCTGAAAAAAAGATTTTAGAAGAAAGAAAACATTGAATGGTAAGTTTTATTTTTTTTTTTACAGGTAATTAAAGGTCCCCCCCCTCATTATTTTTAGGGTGAGGGGGGTAGGTAGGAGGTAAATTTTTTTTGGGGGGGGGAGGGGGTGACTAGGGGACATTAGGTCCCCCCCCTTATTAGTATTTAGGGCCCCCACCTGCTGCTCAGGGGTGGAGGCCAGGAGGGAGAACATTAGTTCCCCCCCCTTATTAGTATTTAGGGCCCCCACCTGCCGCTCAGGGGTGGAGGCCAGGGGGGAGAACATTAGTATTTAGGGCCCTGAGCAGCGGGGGTCAGGGGGGAGGACATTAGGTCCCCCCTTGTTCCAATTTAGAGCCCCCACCCCCCTTATTAGTATTTAGGGCCCCCACCCACCGATCAGGGGTGGGGGCCAGGGGGGAGGTGGTCCGGTGCATAGGGCGCCCGCGTGTGGTTAAAAAGCAATTTCCGGGGGATGGCGCCTGACTTCCGGTGCGGATGGACATCTCTGAGTAGAGCTCTGCACCACCAGGCAATCAAATAGCTATATTCAGCACCAATTGCCGCTGCCAACACCCAGTACCTACCTCACACACTGCCGGAGACCCCCCCACAGGCATGAATCATGGACAGAGAGAGAGAACCCAAACAGGGCTCAAAGGTTGCCCCGATATTTTGGAACTGCATGGACAGAGACCCACCACGTGCTACTGAACCGCCAGCCTCCGGCTCAGAGATGAGCGACCTGAGTTACAGCAGGGATGAAGCACCTGTGACCAAAAAAGATTTTAAAGAGCTACTCAAAGAAAGGAATGCCAACATGGCCTCAGAACTGGCCAAAGATTTAGACCCCATCAAGACGGGCCTGGGAGACCTTGACAGGCACACGGGCGCACTAGAAGACAAAATGGAGGAACTTACCTCCACTACTAGCAATCATGACACAGCCATCTGAGACTTTCAAGATCAATTGCGCAGTCTGGAAGACGCCCAGGAAGACCTCAACAATATCAGGAACCGGGGCCTCTCCGTGCCATCAGATTAACATTCAGTGGCCTGAAGCGCCTGAAGCTGAGATGCTCCCTCAACTCAAGAAAACCAGCCTAGGGACGTCATCGTGCAACTCCATTATTTTCATGTAAAAGAGGCCGTAATGAAGGCGGCCAGAGACTCTCCCCTGCATATAGAGGGCCACCGGGTCCAATTCTACCAGGACCCAGCCCCGAGCGCACACAGGAAAAGAAGGGAGCTCCGACCTCTAACACAGACTCTCTCTCAACAAAGGCTCCGGTATGCATGGGGAAACCCCTTCAAACTGATGGGACGCAAGGACAAACACATATACACTTTGCAAGAGGCCTTTGCCACACAGCTGGGACTCCCACGCCTCAACATGGACGCACACCAGATCCAACAGCACCCAAGCATCCAGCACCCAACACTGCGGCACTGCATAGAAGCAGAAGACACTCATGCCAAGACCAGCATCATACTTAAAGCCTCCTCCAGGACCCCCTCACTAACCAGGACCTGCACCACACCTCGTCCAGAGCACCCAGGCCGACACAGACTCTAGCTGATGACCCCATAATGCCTGAAGACTGAAAAATAAGTGGACAGCCAACTGCCGGCCTGACGCCCGCGCTTCAGGATCTTCCTCTCCTTGTCCCGCTACCCATCCTTCCCTGTTCCTTCAAGGTAACCTGTGGTTTGGGGGGAGGGAGGGGGCTATGCACATTGCTGAGGGGATGGGAGGGAAGGTAGGGATGGTTCCCAACTAGAAAGATAGCTGGCTCTGCTAGAAGAACAAACCACTGGCCCTACCACCAGGAAAGGGCCGGCCACATATATGAACGTTGTCGTCAGGGGACTGGAGTACAAACTTCTGGAGCCTCCAAACGACACCCTGGCACGTGTAGGGGGTGGGTGGGAGGGAAAGTTGAGCCACATAGTTTAATATGCATTTACTCCATTAATATCACCACCTGTCGAGCACGCCTGGGGGGGTGAATGTCGCTCCCAGGGCCTCGCCTCGTGGTAAGGTTAATGTTTAATGGTACCCGTTTATATACCAGTAATGCTCACGTGAAAATTGACCCACAACACTCGCTCGCAAGTGAATCTGACAACGGACGACCACCCACAACCTACTCTGTATTTACTACCACACCTACACTCCGGACTCGCTCTCTGCATCTTAACAGTGAGCTGTCAGATGACGCTTACCCCATTTTACTGGCCTCACTAATAAGCCCAGTAACTACCTTATCCCTCAACCCTTGCTCGTTCTCCCCCACCGTACCTTGGATTGAACCCTCCTTGTTGACATTTCACCCTGCACGCACAACACAAACCATGCCACTGAAGCTTAAAAGTGTCTCAATCAATGCTAAGGGACTCAACACCACGACAAAGTGACACACCTTACTGAGATGGGCACACAGCCAACATGCCGACATAATTCTAGTCCAAGAGACCAATTTTACTGCACAGAGTCACTTCCCCTTGACTAATCTCTACTACAAAACCAGCTACACAGCCAACTCACCGAAAACAAAAACCAAGGGAGTAGCAATCATCCTTAGATCTACATGCCCCATGATAGACATTACCATGGTGGCAGACCCACAAGGACGTTACGTGACAATCACAAGCTAGACAGGAATTAACAAAATCTTACACATTCGGCTCAGTATACGCACTAACCTCTCCAGACCCAGCCTCTACTGACATAGGTTCGATCTCATGGTCAGACCATGCTGATATTTCTTTAACACTCCTACTACACGACCTCGAGGTGATAGACGTCCTTGCCAAAGACATTACAGACTATTTTGAAATAAACGCGCCCATGACCACCTCCCAAATGATCGTATAGGCCGCGCACAAGTAGGTGATTCGAGGGAAATCAGCCTCGCAACAGTGAGGAAAAAAAAAACGCATTCCAACATATATCTAATGCCATGGCAGAAATACACCGCCAATTGACATCGCCAAGAGACCTATTAAAACGACTGACCATGGAGGATACCTCCAAGGCCCTCATGTGGCTCAACCAAAAATACTATGAACACGCCAATAAAGCAGACTCAGTGTTAGCAAGGCACCAAAAACAACGCATTCAATCGAAACTGATCTCACGAATAAGCACGAGGGACGGCTTCATTAGCAACCAACCAGACCATATCGGAAACACCTTCCTGACCTACTTCACAGAATTATACAATCACTCGACCAGATTCCAAGTCACCACGCACTGTCTCACACCTCACCTCGACATTCCTGACCAAACTGAACATTCTTACCCTCACCGAAACGGCAAGTGCTTGCCTAGCAGACGAGGTCTCAGAAGAGGAATTGGCTCTTGCCCTCAGGTCATTCAAACCCAACAAAAGCACAGGCCCAGACGGATTCGTAGCTCTATACTAAAAGACCTTCGGCAAGACTCTGCTGCGACATCTGGGTAGGGTCTTTAACGCCATGCTAAAAGGTAAGAAACTCCAAGATGACATGGTCACATCTAACATCTGTCTCCTACCAAAGCCTGGAAAACCTCATGACGAACCAGGATACTTCCACTCAATTTCACTCTTGAAAGTTGACTTGAAAATCATGACCAAAGTAATAGCTAACAGGATCAACCCTCTAATGGGCTCCCTGATACATCCCGACCAAGTAGGATTCATCCCACATCGACAAGCTATTGACAACACACGACGGGCCATAGACCGGACATGGAATGCCGAACACAGAAACATTCCCACAGCAATCATTTCCCTAGATGCAGAGAATGCGTTCGATCACCTTCTCTGGCCCTTCTTAACCCACATACTTATATATCTCAAGTTCCCTCCCGCCTTTATAACCTTTCTAGAGGCCACCTATAACGCACCTCAGGGCGTACCATTCCTGCCAAACAATCCCCCCGATTTACCATTACCAATGGAACAAGACAGGGATGCCCACTCTCATTCCTACTTAAACAAAAACATACGTTCTAGGAGGGTACATCCACACATAGGAAAGGGGCAATTCACAGTCAGGCAGCGGTCCTGCCACAACACACACAATGCATTCACTATGAACACAATGCATGACATAATGGATGTGCGCATGGTTTTGGTTGGGGGTCGGAGGGGCAGCATTTTATCCTTGGACCCAGGCAGCCCAATGTCGTGGGACAGGGAACTGCTTGTACTAAGCAACCTTGGCTTGAATTTGCTTCTTTTATATTTGTTTCCCAATGATATGTATTGAGAAATGTTCTTTTGTAGACTTTGTTTAAAGTAAATATTTCCTGCCAGTCAGTAGTTGTAAAGATGTCCCTATCGTATTGAATTTAGTCTTTTTAAATTGTGTTTTTTTGTATAAATTCGTTTTTTTGAGTACCATTGATACTCCATTGATAACCATATTATGGTCACTATTTCCTAAGTGCTCCCTAACTTGAATGTTTGAAAATAAGTCAACATTATTAGTTATGACAAGATCAAGACAAAAATATCTTCTAGTTGGTGCTTCTACTAATTAATTAAATTGTCGTTTATCAGGTTCAAAAACCGGTGTCCCTTAGCTGTACTACTGGACCCTCTGGCCCAATCAATGTCTGGATAATTAAAATATCCCATAATTAACAAATTACCCAGATAAGCAGCCTTATTAATTTGAGATAGCTGCTCTTCCTCATCTCTGTTAATATTTGGGGACTTGTAACATATTCCTTCTATTAATGGATAGTCTCTATTTCCTCCTCTACATATTACTACCCATAAGGCTTCCATATCCTCACCTGTCTTATCACATACAGTTTCTTTAACACACAGCTTCATATCAGGTTTAGTATACAGATGCACACCGCCCAATTTTCTATTTTTGCTAGCCTTCCTAAGTAATGAATATCTATTTAAATGAATACCTCAATCAAGTGTTTCATCCCAACAAGTCTCCGTAATCCTAGTTATGTCATACTGCATCTTTTATGCCAGTATCTCCAGCTCCCCCATTTTGCTACACAATTTTCTTGCATTTGTAACCATTTCTTTCTTGAGCCTTATTTGAACAGCATGTATTTATTACCTCCTTGCTGTGTCTGCTAATCTTACCACTCCACCCATCTCCACCTCCCTGGGCTCAGCTGAATTCCATCTCCTTTCTGTACCACATTTATCCTTATTTGACATTGCTCACACTCCTAGTTTAAAATCTCCTCCTACCTTCTAGCCATCCTATCCCCTATCCAGGGCCGGACTGTGGATACGAAGCAGCCCTGGAAAAAAATCTATGCCAGCCCCATAAGTCATTGTGCTATGTAGGGTGTTTTTTATTTATTTATATATATATATATATAGGCAATTGAAATAGTTGGCTGCACTCTCGGATTTCCTGAAAATGTAACTTTTATTGAAAAGAGAAGATCAATGTTTCAGTCCCTCTTGTGGACTTTCGTCATGATCCTGATGCAAGTCCACAAGAGGGACTGAAACGTTAATCTTCTCTTAAATATTTCAATAAAAGTAAAATTTTAATAAATAATATATATAATATATATATTATTATTAATTTTTTTATTGATACATTTCTTCTTCTAATTCAAAATATTAGTTCTTTTAGGGTAATTAAATTATACACTAAAGCATACTCACACACAGACAGACAATCTTACTGATGCACACAAATAGGCTCATTGACAGACAATGACACACACAGACAAGGTTACTGGCGCACACACAAATTTAGTTCAGACAAACTCTGATACACACACACACACACAAGCTTACTATAGACAAGCTCACTGTCACACACACACACGCTCACTACAGACAAGCTCACTGATGCGCACACTCTCCCTACAGACAAGCCCATTGACACACACGCTCCCTACAGAAGAGCTCACTAACACACAGATTCACTACAGACAAGCTCACTGACACACATATGGTCACTACAGACAAGCTCATGATCACACTCATGCTTACTACAGACAAGCTCACTGTACACACATGCTCACCACAGACAGGCTCTGACACACCCATGCTCCTTACAGACAAGCTCACTAACACACACACACACATATGATCCCTACAGACAAGCTCACTGACACACATACAAGCTCACTCACTAGCAGGCACACACACACAGGCAGACAGTCACTGACACCGAGGCAAACACCCACACATACAAAGACAGGCATACAGTCACGCACACACCACACAGACAGTCACACACTCACAGGCAGTCACACAGAGACAGTCACACACTCACACAGTCACACAGAGACACTCACACAGACACTCACACACACACAGTCACACACACACACAGTCACACACAGACACACTCACACAGAGACAGTCAGTCACACTCTTTTTTATTTATTTATTTTTTAATAATCCCGGGCGGCCACGTGTGAGCTGTGCCGGCCACCTGGCTCCCCCTGCTCCCATGGGACGCTGTGCGGCTGCACACCTTGTACATGGCCGGCCGGGATTACAGTGCTGCACAATGATCAGGGCTGTCAGACCGGCCCCAGGTGCCGCAGGCCCACCGGGAAATTTCCCGGTATCCCGGTGGGCCAGTCCGGCCCTGCCCCTAGTATAGCAGACCCTCTTCCGTTTAGGTGCAATCCACCACGACTATACAGGTTGTACCCAAGCGCAAAGTTAGCCCAGTGCTCTAAAAACCCAAAACCCTCCTTCCTGCACCAAGACTTCAGCCACACATTGACCTCTCTAATCTCACGCTGCCTTTCCACTGTAGCGGGTGGCACAGGTAATATAGCTGAAAATACTACCTGGGTGGAGTTTTTCTTCAGTTTGCTACCTAATTCCCTGAAATCATTCTTTAGGACCTTCCATCTTCCTCTTACTTGTCATTAGTACCAACATGGACCATGACCGCTGGGTCATCCCCATCCCCTCCCAATAATCCCTCCACTCTGTCAGCCACATGCCGGAGCTGAGCACCCGGGAGCCAGCAAACTGTCATGTTGATACAATAAACACAAACCTGTCCCCTCCCGCCCAATTAGGGTATTTATTGTACACATGTGGGAATTTAGTTCCCTAAAGACAGAATTGTAGTGAACTTTAACATTTAGCCCAGATTGTGAATGGTCTCTCCCCTGGTAACAGTTGTGTTATTTTACCCTGACTCTGACTCTGGAGATTTGTTTTCAGTTCGCTTCAGTTTGATCCCATACTTTACTATTGCTGTTAGTAGAACATGGCTCCTGTAGCCAGATTACATGCCATATTTAAAGGGACACCGTAGGCACCCAGACCACCTCAGCTCATTGCAGTGGTCTGGGTGCTGTGCCCCTATTGCACTTAGTGCTGCAATGTTAAACATCATTCCAGAGAACTGCAATGTTTACATTGCAGCTCTGTCTGCCCTCTGTGGCTAACAGACAGCCACTAGAGGGCTTCCAGACTCCAAACAGGCTTTTGGTCCGTTATCTGATGCTGGACGTCCTCACAGACCTCCCACGTCCGATTTTCCTCATAGGGGAGGTCTAATGCACGTGGAGGAGCGTGGGCAGAGCCTAACCCAGCACCAAGGGGCATCGGCGCTGGATTCAAGTAAGTGGCTGAAGGGGGGCACTGCAGGAGCCTATAGTGCCAAAAAAAAAACGGGTTTGTTTTCCTGGCACTGTAGGATCCCTTTAAATATCTCTGCTCTTTGATGTGAACCACTTTCCTACCCACCTAGTCTGGCCTGAAAACTGAAAATGTGGTTCAAAGCAAAGTAACCAAGGAAGGAAGGATAAAGTCTCTGCTCTGCCTCACCTAGACTGATCAATAAACCAGTCTGTAGGTTCATTAGCCATTTGTACCCAAGCAATGTATGTCATATTATGGCACCCTGTCTTTTGTAGTGCGATAAAGTGTAGCCTTCTGCTCTTTAACGACTTAAAGATGTATTTTTGAGGGTTATTTTTCCCACTTACACATTTTATAAAATTAGTTTTTATATAAACATGAAATACTTATTACAAAAAAGCCCAATTTTCAAGTTTAAAACATTCATTGTGCTGGCATAGAGAACATAATTATTGAATACATTAAATCCAACATGTCTGTTTAGGCCAAGCCTTCTCTATGTCGAAAATGTCTCTTCCCGCTCTCAGCAATAAGACCTGGTTTGCACCTCGCTCCATGCAGTTTAGTGAAATCCTGCTATAATATATATATATATATATATATATAATCTTGTATTATTTTATGTGAATATGGTAAATTCAGAAGTATTTGAAAACTGACATTTACTGGGTGGCTGACTATTTGTGATATTGGTCTTTGACATCAATGCTTACTGTCTTCTGTGCCCTACATTGAAAACCAGCGTAGAATAGAGTGGAAGGTCTACACCATCAAAGCTGTAAATTCTCATTCCTCCTAGGCCAAAATGAAAGCTGGCCTTGGATAACCTCAAGCTTGTGTGAAACTGAAAAGATAAGATGGAGATAGGGAGGTGACCCCCAAAACTAATGGTTTATGCAGTCCCCTGCAGCCATGGTTTGAGGTAATTTGGCTCTCCACTGAGATCATCTTGCCATAGTTGGACGTTTGTAAATAAATTAATTCTTGCCTTATCTCACATCGAGTAATATCGAGAACCCAGGTCTGGGAGCGAGTGCAAAGTATGACCGTTTCTCTGAGTGAGAAGTTTGTTTATAAAGAACTTTGTGTTTTGGGTTTCTTTTTAGGTTCACATTACAGAGCGGATCTTTTGTGACAGAAAATCAATATTGAGAATCCATTGTTTAAATGTTTGGTGGCATCCACAAAATCATGTCTCTGTAATGAAAAGTGCACGTTCTGAATCCTTATTTCATAATAAACCTGGATGTGCGGCGGTCCAGACTCCAGACCAGGTGGTTTACATGATAATGTAAACATTGACACTTTGCCATTTCAGATATCCGCTTCTTTGTGATATAAAGTACTTATAAGGAATGTGTTTGTTCTTGAGTAACCTCCTTAGCGACACCACACGCGGATGTCCAAACACATAGACAGAAGCAGTGACAAGCAGCGTTTTCCTTGGAGGTAGTATTGACTAGTTGACCGGTTACAATATGCACATTTTGCAAACATTTTAGTTGGTCATGTGATGTCTCCATCTGTGGTGGGTCTGAAAAGCAGTCCTTATAGTTTATAAATAACAAATTGTTTTACATAACAACTAAATGGGGTTCTTGCTATATCACACAACTTTCTTGCGCGTAGCATATAACTATATATTCAGGCAGTAATCAGGACTCAGAGGTGTCTCCCCCTTGACAGAATGGGTCATTGAAGTCATTGTCTGTAAGGTTAACAGTATACGGAACATCGATGATTCCACTGGTCTGCTCACGCTGACTGCTGGATGTCCTCCAAGTGTTTAGTGGTCGGATAGATTTTTTAAACCTCTAAGAGAAGAAAGAGGAAAAAAATGATCCACAATTCCAAACAACATCACAACAAAACCATCTATGTTCTAAGTTCTCTAGTGCTGGTCTGCTCCCTTTGTTTCTCTTCTCATTATTAAAGTAATTGCTCTTTTACCTGTCCATTGTGTAATTGTAAAACACTGCAGAAAATGTTGGTGCTATATAATTAACAGAGTACCAATGAATGGTCTGAAATACTTTATTCTGCTCCTGGGACTGCACAGGGCCCGAATGACTCCCTAGTATTGTGAGAACACGAAGGTGGTTTGCTAAAGCTCCAGTTTAAATCTTTGCAGAGAGTCGGCCACTCGCCCTCACCTGAAAAGTGCAAAGAGTACTTCAAAGTCTGCAACAAACAACCTGCATGCCCCTCAAATAGGCTGATAGATTTAAAGGGAGAGAGATCAAAGGTAAGTTTCTACCCCCTTTGAGATACGACAGAATTAGCATTATCTCCAGTAAAATGTATAATCTACTAAACAAAGAACTTCTCTGTGAATAATTTGTAAATCATGCACTAATTACAATTTAATCTTACATTGTGATAGTCACTTTTATTTCTGACTTCCTAAGTAACTATGGAATTGTCAGAGGTTGTATGAGTCATTTGGGAGGTACCCACAGTGGCAAAGCCAGACATTTTTATTTTACCTGGAGCAGAGACTCAGTTGAGGGTCCCTTATTTCCTTGTGCAGCCAATGCTTTCTGGAATCACTGAGATTCCAGCATGGACCTGCCGACTAGCCATAGCAGCTTCTAAATCTATTTTGTTGTGTGGATGGGAGGCTGCTTGTGGGCTTTGTGTGTTGTGTTCATGGTGAGCTTGTGTTTCATGTGTGGGAGGTGGCTATGTATGACAATGACATTCTTCATGGAGTCACTGTGATAGGGTGATCATGGGGGTGACTGTGGCAGGATGAGTGTGATAGGGTTTCGGGGGGGGGGGAGGTTGACTGTTGGATGAGGGTGAGTGTGAGAGTTGGGGGTTACGAAAGTGTGAGTATGACTGAGTGCCTGTAGCAGAGTGGTATTTTGACTGTGGCAGGAAGTGAGTGTGACCCTCTTAATGTGGCGCCCAGGACACTGGCACCCACAGACCCTCCCCCTCCTCTCCCCCTCTCCCATCCAATGCCATACCATCTTTACTCACATCCATTAATGTTCCTGACTCTTTAAAAATGGCGACTCCAGCCCAGATGGGTATCTGTAGGCAGCAGAGAGACCCCATACATATGCCCAGTGCTTTGCCCCAGCGTGGGTACACATATTGTCCATAACGAAGGGGAGTATTATACATATCGATGAAGATATAAAACATAATAAACTGAAAGAGAGAAAACAGAAATATGTTAATACAATATCAGCATCTCAAACAAAACGTAGCGTAGACTGCTGTACGGCATTCAATGGACCTTCAGGCACATTATAGATTTACTGCTGTACGGCATTCAATGGACCTTCAGGCACATTATAGCTTTACTGCTGTACGGCATTCAATGGACCTTCAGGCCCATTATAGATTTACTGCTGTACGGCACTCAATGGACCTTCAGGCCCATTATAGATTTACTGCTGTACGGCATTCAATGGACCTTCAGGCCCATTATAGATTTACTGCTGTACGGCACTCAATGGACCTTCAGGCACATTATAGATTTACTGCTGTACGGCACTCAATGGACCTTCAGGCACATTATAGATTTACTGCTGTACGGCACTCCATGGACCTTCATGTACATTATTGATTTACTGCTGTACGGCACTCCATGGACCTTCAGGCACATTATAGATTTACTGCTGTACGGCATTCAATGGACCTTCAGGCACATTATAGATTTACTGCTGTTCGGCACTCAATGGACCTTCAGGCACATTATAGATTTACTGCTGTACGGCATTCAATGGACCTTCAGGCACATTATAGATTTACTGCTGTTCGGCACTCAATGGACCTTCAGGCACATTACAGATTTACTGCTGTACGGCACTCAATGGACCTTCAGGCACATTATAGATTTGTATTACTTTTTTTTAATTATTATTATTTAAATGATTATTGAGTTGTTCTTAGCTAACCAATACAAGAAAAGGAAACAAAAAAAGATGAAACACAAGGCCAAAGAAATGGGATTCCCCAAGATGATTGTTTGAGGATGGTGTGGTGGAATGCTCCTATACTGAGCATGCTGCCATGAATAGGGACAGGAGAAAGGGGTTAGAATTAATCTGAAGACATATCTATCACTGAGGAGAATATGGGAGAGGAAGTACATGCTGGACATTGTGTCACATCTCTAAAATATCCTTAAAGCATTTATCGAACGAGCAGAACTCACAGATAGTGTAATACAGTCTGCAAGAGCAGCGACCAGTTACATATAAATAGCAATCCACCATTTTATCCACTTGTATGGATATTTAATTCATTTATTCTTAACAATAAAAAGGGCATATTGTGTGACGAATATAATGCAAATTAGCGTCCGGCGATAGAAAGACAGAGAAACAAAAGGAAGAGTTAGGCAACAACGCTTTTAAGTTTTTATTCTATGAATTGATCTTAGATATATTCGCTTTGGATGTCTGGCAGTTCACCGTCCGTGTGTGTCACTGTCCAGGGCCTATTCTGTGTTTCTGCACAGTATCATTACGTACAGAGAGAGGGAAAGTGAGCAGAGTTACAGATCTCTGCCTTTTTTGGGGATTAACCCTGGTGACCACTAAACCATACCTCCCAACACTTCACATGGACAAAGAGTGATGCTAGGACATTAGGAGAAAAAAAGAGGGTCCGCGGGATATGGGCCCAAAATTGAGACCACCTACCGTCAGTAGAGCGGGAGTGATGAATACCCAGCATGCCTTGAAGTACAGGAGGAGTTTAGTACACCATGGTGGGCAGCGGCAGACCATGTCAATGATATCCTGACAAAACTGGTTCACCCCTGAGAGGGAGGGAAATAACACAGAAATGGCAGAGGGAATTTCACTGGATAAAAGGGTGCAGATTGATGGGAATTAAAATTAATTTAAATTTAACGCCAAAAAGGCTAAACCAGCTGTGCTTTCAGTTCGGCTAATTTGGCCTTAACGTTTAAATTCACTTTGAATTCCAGATAATTCTCCCCTTAGTAAATAGCTGTGCTTGTTTATATAGTCTGTATACTGGAGACTGTACGCTTAGAGTTGTAATACCTTCCTTTCCTCTGCGTGATTTTCTCTTTTTTATAAATTCCCTCATAGTGATATAATACCAACAGCCTCCACTATGCAAACCTTTCCATGTGTACAGAGAGGCTTTGCGGTTTACCTTAAAAACTGCCAGCCCACCCACAATGCACGACCCCCAACTCCAGCCCTACCAACAATGCTAGACCCCAACTCCAGCCCACCCACTATGCACGACCCCAACTCCAGCCCACCCACTATGCACGACCCCAACTCCAGCCCACCCACAATGCACGACCCCCAACTCCAGCCCACCCACAATGCACGACCCCCAACACCAGCCCACCCACAATGCACAACCCCCAACTCCAGCCCTACCTATTATCTAAACAATATGTCTGATTAAATAATGCGTACTAGAACTAGTGATGAAATTGTAACGATGCCTTACCTTTCCTCCTCGGTCCCACGCCGCACGGCATCCTCTTCCGGTGAGTGGCACAGCCCTTCTGACGCCGGCCGCTCACACCGCACATATTTTTATAATACGGCGCATGCGCGCCGTAGCCGGCAAGTAAATGCCGACGTACGTCACACGCGACCATGCCCCCAGACCTTCCGGGGGCATGGTTTTGATGCAATATACCCCACACTATAAAAGGGCGTCCCTGTCACTTGAAAGGCGCCCTAGTGTGGTTCTTGTTAATGCCTCTAGTGCTTATACTCTCCTTTAGTGTTGATTCCCTGGTTATTGACTTTTGGCTTTCCCTTTTGACTACTCTACTCTCTGGTTTCCCGTACTTTGGCTAGGTCTTATCGTTTACCCGTCTTCTGTACTCGCTTGATCTCTGGCTATCCATTTGACTACTCTATACGTTAGTCCGGCCACTCTAAGGTCCGGTATACGTTCTTCTCTGGGTTACACTCTGTGAGAAGGGGTCACTGTCGTGACAGAAATATAGCGAGACCACTGTAATAATTGAGTGTGTTAACAGAGATATTAAGAGTGATCAGAAAATAAAGAAAGGTTTAGGCACTCCAAGGTTCAAGCAGGCAATTTTTTTTAAACCCAATGTCATAGCGCAACGTTTCAACCTATAAGATCTTTATCAAGCGTGATAGGATTGAGTGCAGTTCCTAGTTTATTTTATTAAGAGAGAGTGACTCACCGTAGAAGAAGGCCATGCCAATGCACATGAAGAGAGTGATGATAATGAGTCCAAAGCTGGTGCTGTATGAGTCTATCAGAGTAAACCAGTAGATGCCACCCTAGAAACACACAGTGGAGGGGCAGACATTCAGATTCATTGAACCCATCTAGCTCTCCTATTTCTCTATTCTAGCAATGAGTCCATCGTTCTCTCAGAGCGTTTCAGAAGACCTCTTATTATTATTATTCGTTCATTGAGATGGTAATATATAAATTGTAAGATGTCATGGCTGCTCCAATTCATAACATTCACATTTTTCTAGGGTTAATAATCTGTTCCTGCTGAGCTTAATTAATCATTTAAATGCTACACACAATAGCACCTGGTCACAATAAATGAATGCTCTTGAGATGCAACTTCTACATAGAGTCTCCAGATATGAACTGCTGTGAAATGCAACGGCCAACCTCTCAACGGATGAAGTTAGTGTCAAGCTATCTAAATCTTACGTCTGTAACCAGGAGAAGGCCCATCAGGTAGAAGCAAAAACACAAAATTCCCAGGAAGAGGGTCTTCCGCTTCCACTCCCGGAGAGCCGGAAACTCATCCAGCACAGCGGTCGTAATACCTTCCATGTTACCAAACTGAGGGAGAGACAGTGGGATTATTCATCACATGATCAACTCAATGTGCATTTATACAGAGTAATAAAGGAGAAACACTACACATTAATAATTACTAGAAAAACCTAACCTAGCCTCTAAATGAGAAGCAAATCATTACCTATTCCTGTCATTGATGGTAATATTTGTCAATCCGTGAACCCCCGATTTCGTATTAAAGAGTAGTAAGTCATGGGACTCCAGTCTCAGGAAGTAAAATGTAGCTTTGGCATTATTATAGCAGACTATTAGGTAGAAGGATAACTGATGCAGTTTGTAAGTGTTTCAGCTCGAGCAAGTATTCACGTTTGGATCCTGATAGCAGTAAAGTATTATACCGGGGTGGGCAACCTTTGCTACTCCAGATGTTGTGGACTGCATCACCCATAATGCTGGCAAAGCATCAGGGGAGATGTAGTACACAATTATCTGGGGTGCTGAAGTTTGCTGAGCCCTGCCTTATATATTAACGTTGCTCCATTGCTGGCATCTCTGATTTGATAGGGAAATTGTTACAAAGAGTCACTCTGAGGAGTTCTCTATAAAGCTGACTTTACTGGGATGGGCGTCCAAGAATGACCAGTTTTAATAAAGAGGGAGAGGTCATACCAATGACTGCAAACTGATGGTGCTAAAACAGTATGTCCCATTATAGCTATTGGAACAGAAAGCTCATTACTCCCATGTTCTCCAGATTGTGATCTATTCACTGCTGATGGTGTTCCTCAAAATTACTTTGTTTATTTACCAGAGTGTCTATTCCCAAAGAGAACAGCATCAGGAAAAAGAGGATTGACCAAAATGCAGAGCCTGGGAGCAGGGCAAGTGCCTCTGGATAGGCCACAAATGCCAACCCGGGACCTGCAAAGAACCAAAAAACAGTATGATGAGCAGTGAGCCTGTGGCCACAGACACAGGAAAATATTAGGAATATAACCCGACATACAGACTGTACCCATTGACCCGACATACAAAACGTAACGATTAACCCGACAAATAGAATGTACCCATTAACCCAACATACAGAATATACCCATTAACCCGACATACAGAATATACCCATTAACCCGACATACAAAACTTAAAGGACCACTCTAGGCACCCAGACCACTTCATCTTAATGAAGTGGACTGGGTGCCAGGTCCAGCTAGGGTTAACCCATTTTTTTTATAAACATAGCAGTTTCAGAGAAACTGCTATGTTTATGAATGGGTTAAGCCTTCCCCCTAATCCTCTAGTGGCTGTCTCATTGACAGCCACTAGAGGCGCTTGCGTGCTTCTCACTGTGATTTTCACAGTGAGAGCACGCAAGCGTCCATAGAAAAGCATTGTAAATGCTTTCCTATGCGACGGGCTGAATGCGCGCGCAGCTCTTGCTGCGCGTGCGCATTCAGCCCAGGAGGAGGATCGGAGGAGGAGAGAAGGAGGAGAGCTCCCCGCCCAGCGCTGGAAAAAGGTAAGTTTAAACCCCTTCCCCCTTCCAGAGCCGGGCAGGAGGGGGTCCCTGAGGGTGGGGGCACCCTCAGGGCACTATAGTGCCAGGAAAACGAGTATGTTTTCCTGGCACTATAGTGGTCCTTTAAATGTTTACCCAAGATACAGAATGTACCCATTAACTCGACACACAGAACGTATATGTCCCCCCCCCCAGACTCCACCTGTGGGTTGGGGTTCAGGGCTCTGAACAAATATAGAGAAGGATGAACATGCCATTGTTCTTAAGTCATCCCCCCCATCTGGTGGCTCTGGGACCCAAATTAAAATAAAATTACCAACCCCTTCACGCTAATAATAGAGAGAGGGGAACCCGGTAAGTATAAAACCTGTGTAAAAATAGTATACTTACCATAACATTTCTTCTTAAAATTTATTTTCTTTAACCCCAAAAAGGCCAAATAAAAATCCATTAATCCACGACAGGGCTTTGAAAATAAAAAATGCAACGGCAAAAAAATCTAATGCAGTAAAAATAATCCATGCGATTAGCTCAGAATGAGCGTGTAAGGTGAGGAAACTCGTATAAGAGCTTCTACAGACTGTGCAATATTGGTCAGAGCGCGGTTATTGTTGGCTTACATGGGATGAGGCTCTATTGGCTTATGGGCAGTCAGTGAGCAAATAGTACAGAGTGACTATTACTGCTCGCTTGAAAAGCACTGATTTTAAACCAGACGGCAAATAAATTCCGTTGAATAAAAAGTTTGACATTCGGACCAGACTTGACTTGTAATTGTGAGAATTGTCAAAGTGCTGGTTCATTCAGTCATTTTCACCAACACAGGTAAATTTAACAACACCACAAACACATATGATCACTATACACACAATGTCTAAACATGGTTAGAGCAACGTACGGATATAAAATGTCGATCTAGTGTGGGTCTACTATTAATATCACTACTGCTGTCGATAAACTTAAATCTGTGATGTAACTGAAAATCCCACTATATTGCGGTTTTGTTTGTCGATAATTTTGTGACGATGAATTATCGATATTGCGGTTTTGTTTGTCGATAATGAAGTGATGTACAACAACAAGAGTGTAGTTTGAGTTAAGTTGATAATGTTTTCTAACTCGGACTGTGTTTCCAGCACAAGGAACAGCTCACATATCTTTGTAAGGTGATTGTCTTAATTCTGTAACAGGAAATGTTTTCAAGTAAATGTTGGCATTGAATTGTGATCAGGGTCTGTGTGTAAATAAAAGTATTTTGAACGAAAGGTTATATCCTGAAATGCGAACACTTATTACAACGTGCAGAGAGTGATCTCTGAAAGGTTAATGATGTCCTACCATTAGTAATTTCTGGGGAACGATAACAATGTAACTTGGACCTATTTAGCAATTTTACATTTCTTACTCACCTGAGTCTGCCACCTCGCCCACGGGGACCTGCTTTTTCCAAGCCATGTGACCCAACACAGAGAATATGGCAAATCCGGCAAAGAAGCTGGTACAGCAATTCCCAATAGCTATAACCAAAGTATCCCTGAATAGAAGAGAGGAGACACTTGTCAGGGTAGAAATAAAATAGGACTCTGTAGGTTCAATCTTTACTACAGACGCCATCTCGTCTCACTACTACACCTGAAATCAAACTGCTTTTAGTGACTATTCATTCAGTTGTTGGCAAATATCAATGGTTTCAGGACCTCGTGAGCGATGGACATGTATTGGGATGTGGGGAATGTTATCTCTCAAGTTTATTGCCCAACGCCCATTCTGCTAACTCGTCATACTCTTAGTATGATTGTCACTTACCTCACCACGTTATTATCAAACTTGTTATAAGAGGCCATGGACAGTAGGCCACCAAACCCAATGCCCAGGGAGTAGAATATCTGAGAGGCTGCGTCATTCCACACCTGAAAAAACACAGTCATTGGGGGAGATTTATCAATGTGATTAGAAAATTGTTCGTTATTTTTGGTCTGTAATCTGTTTGTATTTAATAAATAGGTCTAAAAAGTATTAAATATAGAGTAAATGAAGACTATAAACTGGCTACATACTGGGTAACTAAATACAGGATATAGACGGGATACCTGAGCACTTCGAAGTCTGCTCCAATCAGCTGTCAGGTAGAACCTTACTCCATCGATGGACCCATCCAATGTGGCACCTCGTATAATAAGAACAATGAGGACAACGTAGGGGAAGGTAGCTGTGAAATACACAATCTGTGGAGAATTAGGTGGATATTGGTCAATACGTATAATTCCATAGAAAGGATCTTTTTGCAGCATGTAACAGAGCTGGGTATTATGTAGAGCTATAGTTGGGAGCAGTGTTTCTGTAGAGCTCTGTAATTGGGCATAAGTGGGTTCTATTTTAATCTTTGTGGGGCCGGGGGCAGTGAGAAGCTCGGGGTAAATCAAACATTGAACGCAATGTGTTAAGCAAGACAAAGTGGGGTGCAGTCCACTGGCGAATCATGGGAATGTCGTTGGTTCCGTTGGGTTTCTGCAGCGGATACATAGAAGGTCACAGAAGAGACTGAACTGGAATTTTTGCTGCTCTTTTGGTTATTGATATTCAGTTCCATGTTTCTATCAAGATGTATGCGGTAAAACACAATAGAAATATAATGAGTGACTCGCTGATTGCTGTGTGAGACCACTATTCATGTGGTACCTACAATAATTAATGTGTTGGGAAAAGCTTTAATTAGGTGGTTGTGGTGGATAAAATAGTGTAAGACAGCTTCATAGTTTGATTACTGTGATGGATAATTTAGTGGCTGCGACATGGTGAGCAACAATTTCCCTTTACAATGGCTTCAACATAGAGCGGGACAGTTTCTCTGTATAGTGGCTGTGATGTGGATTAGGTCAATTTCTCTATAAAATGGCCATGATGAGGAGAGAAATCGTTTTTCTTTGTAGTGGCTGAGATGTTCAAAGGGACAGTTTTTCTATGTAGTGGCTGTGATATAGAAATTGACAATTTCTCAATGTAGTGGCTGTGATATGGAGAGGAACAGTTTCTCTGTGTAGTTGCTGTGTGTAGCGGACCACCTAGTAACCCGACCGGATACCTCTGCTATTTCCCTTCCTTCTGCCGAACAGGAACTATTCAGGATATAAAGAGATCCATTTCCTCCCAGTAACTGGACGCCACCCAGTTCTGGAGGTACAACAACCACTACTTGTCCCCATGCAAGGGGTGGATCACACACAATGACAATGTCCCCTCCTAGGGTCCTCCCCCTCCCAGAGGTCTCTAAGAGTCCCAGTCCCTCTGTCCCCAGTTCCCGCCACCCAAGTACAGGTTTTCCCACTTCCGATGTCAGGGGGTCTTCTTCCCAGGATTCCCTTTGTCTCCTGTTCCCAAATACCCAAATACAGGGATCTTCTCCCCATGAGCCTTTGTACCTAGGAAGCACAGCGCGGGAAACCCTCCTGCCTCTTTATTTCCCAGGTACAGATAGCCCGACAAACCAGCCATTGTCCCCAAAGGGTGTCTATACCAATCCACAGGGACCCCCGTAACAGTACCTGCCTCGAACAGCCTCCATTCGCGGGGTCCCCATGTGAAACCAGGCAAGGGAAGCATCTCCTTTCAGGGTATGAATCCTCCCCCTGGATGGCGTTTGGCTATACAAATGGCAGCCACCCAGGGAATCACTTGTTAATTACTACCCTTGCGGTTTCACACTTATGTTGCGAGTGGTAAACGTTCTAATTGATTAGTGCGAACATTCCAATGTGTACTGGGGCGGTCCTCATTCAGGAACTGAACGAGGTGGGAAGCAGTCCACGAATACTCCCCCTGGATGGCTTTGATCTATACGAAATGGTGGCCACCCAGGGGAGGCACGCGCTGAGGCTTCCCTTGTAGTTTGTGGTTTGACACCTTGTTGGGAGGTATAAACATTCTAAATGAGGTAGTGGGGTGGTCCCCATTCGGGAGGCGAATGAATTCCCTTTGTGGAAACACTCCCGAACGGGGAGCAGGCAAAACACATGAACATATGGTTAACCCACACAATAATGTGGCCCGGACAGCGGCAGTCTGATGATATCGATAGGGATAGCTTCCCTGTGTATTAATGCAATGAATAATGTGATGTTTGAGAAACTCACCTTGCCTGAGCTTCGGATGCCCTTCAACGTGCAGAGGAAAATGATGACCCAAGCAGCCAGCAAACATAGGGCAAGCTCCCACCGAACGGGTCCGGGGTCACTGAGTCCAGAGCTTCGCACCACACCCAGAACCTTCTCACTGCGGGATATGAGTAGACATAGAAAAGTGCGTGTTTACAGCAGAATATCAGCAAGAGATGTATCAGAACATTGTATAAAGAGAGGATATAGAAACAAAGACTGTGACGGCCGATAAGAACCATTTGGCCCATCTAGTCTGCCCAATTTTCTAAATACTTTCATTAGTCCCTGGCCTTATCTATATATAGTTAGGATAGCCTTATGCCTGTCCCACGCATGCTTAAACTCCTTTACTGTGTTAACCTCTACCACTTCAGCTGGAAGGCTATTCCATGCATCCACTACCCTCTCAGTAAAGTAATACTTCCTGATATTATTTTTAAACCTTTGTCCCTCTAATTTAAGACTATGTCCTCTTGTTGTGGTAGTTTTTCTTCTTTTAAATATAGTCTCCTCCTTTACTGTGTTGATTCCCTTTATATATTTAAATGTTTCTATCATATCCCCCCTGTCTCGTCTTTCCTCCAAGCTATACATGTTAAGATCCTTTAACCTTTCCTGGTAAGTTTTATCCCGCAATCCATGAACCAGTTTAGTAGCCCTTCTCTGAACCCTCTCTAAGGTATCAATATCCTTCTGAAGATACGGTCTCCAGTACTGTGTACAATACTCCAAGTGAGGTCTCACCAGTGTTCTGTACAATGGCATGAGCACTTCCCTCTTTCTACTGCTAATACCTCTCCCTATACAACCAAGCATTCTGCTAGCATTTCCTGCTGCTCTATTACATTGTCTGCCTGCCTTTAAGTCATCAGAAATAATCACCCCTAAATCCCTTTCCTCATATGTTGAGGTTAGGACTCTATCAAATATTCTGTACTCTGCCCTTGGGTTTTTACGTCCAAGATGCATTATCTTGCACTTACCCACATTAAATGTCAGCACAGAATATAGAGAAAGCATTTTACAGAAATGGATATAAATTATCAGCATACAGATAAGGCTATGACGGAATGACATAGAAATTAGAGAATTATTTATATATATGGTATGACACATATAGAATCGCACCCGGCAGATATTTACTGATTTACTCACTTCCAGAAGGCCTCCGTTGCGCTAAACTTAGATCCATTATTTGTGGAATTCTGCCAAATACAATATTCAGGGAAGTGTTAGTAAATCTGCTTGAAAATTGTATTTTTATTTTTCATAATTATGTCTGCGTTGAAATGTTCACAACGTACCTATTAACACACAGTGTTTCTTTATACGATACATGGGATTATCAAAATGACAAGGGTATTCACCAAACCTCAAACTGTTGCACGTTATTAATTATTATTATTTATAAAGCGCCAACAAGTTCCGTAGCGCTGTACAATGGGTTGAAATCTGATTTACAAAATATAGGCAAAGTTAGCTGATTTTGAGAATCTCTGTAACTCAGCTACCCTATATTCACAGCTTGGCTGTAAAAGTTAACCCGTTTATTGGTCAATTCATGCCCAGTCACCCGGCCCCTCCACAAATGGTTACAGGGGACTCAGTGCTTCTCTATGGGAAACATACAGCGCCTCCTTGCAGAGGGTGAAGACGCTGATCGCCAGTGCTGTACACTGTGCAGCACTGTCCTAGGAAGCACTCCTAGTGGCTGTCACTAGAGGCGGTACTAGGCAGCAATGATGACTATAGTGTCCCTTTAAGGGGTTAAAAATATATACATTTGGCTCCCAATTTGTCAAGCCCTAACTTAAACTGCATTAGCTCACCTAAATATGTGTCATCTGCAACCACAGACACATGACTTACAGTGTCCTTTGCAAGATAGTTAATGAAGATATAAATTGAGTTAATGAACAGTACACTTTGATGAAGGGTTTAGGAACCATATCCAATGTAGCGGATTGCATTAAGGCTGTCCTCAAGAATTCATATTAAAAATGTATTCGTGTAATTGTTTCCCTGTATAACTGTAAGTGTATGTAGCTTTCGTATGATTGTTCGGTAGTTTTCATATGAATGAAACTACTGAACCATCAGACCACCCCAGTGAGAAGTGTGCACCTTGTTAAGTTTTCACACTCTGTAACCGCAGCTTAATGGACCGGGAAATTGATATATTGTATGCACCTGTGTGGTCGCTGTTTGGCATACGAACCGCGCGCGGCAGCCATCTTACTCAAGAAAATCTCAGTGTTTGGTCTTCAAGTGTCTGGAACTCAAATCGGACACTCAAACACCCGAACACCGCTGAGACCTCCAGAGCTCCATAACTCCCGAACGGAGGGGCCAGTCAGCCCCTCGTTCAGTAAAATAAATGTACCGAACAAGAGAATACAGACGAATAGAAGATTATCTGTGGATGGCAAGGATTACTGTATGTTTTAACTACCGAATGGAGACTGACCGCAGGGCCAAAACACATGGAGCCTTTTTCGGATACCACCTCGTGTGCGGTCGGTCACATTTCACCTTCCACCTAACTCCCAAACCCCTGGTCCGATCTGGGTGAATTTTGAATATGTTCGTCACCCAGATCTGGGCTACAGGGGGGTACCCAAAATATTATTCTAGCTGCTTGTTTTGGGGGACATCCAGAACTCGGGGAAAACTACAGTATGTTTAATTGGATTATGTGTCACACTGAGGGGAGGAGATGTGTGGGAGGTAACAGTTACACTATTGGCTACTGTAATAATTACTGTAAATCCCTCCCCTGCATGGGAGAAAGCTTTAAAAGAAGGTTGAGTGATTAAAAGTTCAGTTCTGCTCCAGATGCGGTGTGTCGTCCAGTCATTGGGATCTGTATGGGAATATGCGTGGATTACCTCGCTTGCTGGGATTATTACTCTATGGTATTTTATTACTTGTTCCTGAGCCTCACTGGGATCTTTAGTGGAGTTAACCTGTGAAAATCCAACGTCTTCAGAAAGAGCTCTCGGAATGAACTGTTCATTACGTTATGGCTCAGAATGAATTAATCAATTTATCTGTACTCAAATTTGTGAAAATTCAGCCCTTACAAGGGGAAATTTATCTCTGGAGAGTTTGATTTGGACACTGTAGGCTTGCACAGTGAGAGTCATTTTATGCCAAGCTGGTTGCGTACATACAGAGCCCAGAATTTATATCTTTATTAATGATCTTGCAATTAAAAGTCATGTATCAGTGCATTATTGAATGAAAAGCATGAGGACAACTGGCTGGGTAACTACGTGATGTCAGTCAGCAACTTCAAAAGCCAATAACAAACTGTAAAATCTATATAAAAAGAGGAATTTGTTTTGCGATGAATATATAATTTGACTCCTACATAAATCAATGATTAGCTCCACTTGTGAATATGTGTTTCAGTTTGGGGCATCTGATTTTAATAAGGATATTATGGGACTGGAAAAAAGTACAGATGCAGGGTTCAAAAAATGAATTAGGGGAATGGACGATTTCAGCTACGAAGAAAGCTTTAACCCCTTAAGGACCAAACTTCTGGAATAAAAGGGAATCATGACATGTCACACATGCCATGTGTCCTTCAGGGGTTACAAAACATGTTTATTTTAGAAAACAAACATCTAAGAAGGGATATGAGGTATGATACATACAGTAACATACAGTGCATGTTTTTTATGCTTACCTTACACAGCTGGACATACTGAGAGGCTTCACATGACCATGGCAGTGGACTCTGGAAAGAGTTTCCCAAATAATAAAATGTCCAAGCAATAATGACATTATAATATAAGGAGACCAGAGAAGAGACGATAAGCATCCCAATGCCAATCCCTGGGAGCAAAACACAATAGTAAATAGAGGACACTAATCAGTAGAAAATAAAATACAACAGTAAATGGATGTTGCTACTTAGAGAATGAAAAATACTAAGGGTACAAATCACTGTGTATAATGTCAATGAATGGGGCTAATTAGAGAATCAAACTAGTATTCTACACTTCTTATTCCTACTGTAAAGTGGTGGTACCATTCTAGTGTTTCTAACTTGTAATTGTCAGACGGTGGTACCATTCTAGTGTTTCTGACTTGTAATTGTCAGATGGTGGTACCATTCCAGTGTTCCTGACTTGTATTGGTCAGACTCCAGCACTCCGGAAAGTGGCGAATAAAACGCACGAACAGCCCAGCATTCGGTAGGATGAATCCCGCAAAACAGGGGATTCATCCGAATGCAAAGTCAAGCATAGATGGCAAAGACTTTCGGGCCTTTTTATATGTGAATTGAGACCGACCGCAGGGCCAGAACACATGGAACTATTTTCGGCTACTGTGCCCGTGCGGTCGGTCAAATATTTGCCCTGCAATAACTCCCGAACCCCTGGTCCAATCTGGGTGATTTTTGAGTATGTTTCTCACCCAGATCAGGGCTACCAAGGGGTACCTCACCTGTATTTGGGGTACATCCAAGAATTGGGGAAAAGTGTGTACATTTTAATAAGTTTAACTGTTAAGGGGAGGAGATGTGGGGGAGGTACCGACTATGTGATTGGATACTGTATGATTGGAATTGGAATATGTGATTGGAACTTATGGAAGTTGCCTCTCTTGCATGGGAAAAACATATAAAAGCAGAGCTTGTGCATTAAAGGCCAGTTGACTCCCAGACTATGTGTCGTCTAGTCCTTGGGGAAGGGGATTATGCTGTGTTTTGTACTTCTGTATGCTGAATCTTTGTTTCCAGCGGAGAACCCTTGGATTAACCCCTGCTACTCCGCTACACAGACGGTGGTACCATTCTAGTGTTCCTGATTTGTAATTGTCAGACCGTGATGCCATTCTAGTGTTCCTGACTTGTAATGGTCAGACCGTGATGCCATTCTAGTGTTCCTGACTTGTAATGGTCAGACCGTGATGCCATTCTAGTGTTCCTGACTTGTAATGGTCAGACGATGGTACCATTCTAGTGTTCCTGACTTGTAATGGTCAGACGATGGTACCATTCTAGTGTTCCTGACTTGTATTGATCAGACGGTGGTACCATTCTAGTGTTCCTGACTTGTATTGGTCAGACGGTGGTACCATTCTAGTGTTTCTGACTTGTATTGGTCAGACGGTGGTACCATTCTAGTGTTCCTGACTTGTATTGGTCAGACGATGGTACCATTCTAGTGTTCCTGACTTGTATTGGTCAGACGGTGATGCCATTCTAGTGTTCCTGACTTGTAATGGTCAGACGGTGATGCCATTCTAGTGTTCCTGACTTGTAATGGTCAGACGGTGATGTCATTCTAGTGTTTCTGACTTGAAATGGCTAGACGGTGGTATCATTTTCTGACAGAAAATTGTCAATCTTTGGTGCACAATGGCAATAGTCTAGTCTTATTGATTTCTTCAATGGCACTAATGTAGTGTTCCTGACGTCTGAAGGGTATACAATTGCACCATTATTGTGTTACTGTTATGTCATGTTCAGACAATGCTGGTTCTAGTCTAGTCCGACTCCTACTCACTTCTAATAAACCACTCTACTCTTTTGGGATATATGGTCAGGTAACAAAACAAGCACTTTCCTACACACATCTATTGGTCATGCAGGGGAATGAGCACAGTCCTTTACACAGCTATTGATCAGGCAATGGAATGAACATAGTTCTACACAGACACCTATTGATCAGGTAATGGAACGAGCACAGTCCTATACAATGGCATAGTGTGGGTTGCCAGCTCCCAGGGCAAGGTAAGTATTGCGTCCCCTAACCTGTGGACAGTTATCACTCCCTGAGTTCTGTAACAGGTGCTTAGATAGCCTCCCTCCTCCTTCCTTACCCACCTCGTCTCTGTGATGTGTGTGACATTGATAGTTGAGTTGTATAATTTTTCAAATCAACCTCGTGCCTAAAGTGGTACCAGTCTAGATTTACCGAATTGTTATGGTCAGATGATGGAGCCAGTCTACTCCCAGTATATGGAATCAAGTCTCAAAGTGAGATTATATTGAAAGTTTGTTAGAGTCTTTATTTAAAAAAAATTGTTAAAATCAATGTCAGAGAGACACAGACGGGTTGGCGTGGAATAAACCAAGCGGTTCATGGTGCTGGAAATTAATTATAGGCAACTGGAACTTGCTGGATATTTAAAGGCACAATACTTCCTGAAGATTTTAATTTTATTTTTATAAGCAAAGCGTGGATGCAAATGTATTCCCTTGAGCTATAATTCAGCTTCGTCAGGCGTGGCTGAGAGGAGAGAGGAAAGATTACTAGCAGAGAGTCCGATAAATATGGACTGATGTGAGAATACTCTACCTTTCAGGATTGGACAACATTTCCAAACAGTGATGGGTCCAGCAGCTCCATATTGACCCAAACTCAATTCCATGAGAAAGAGAGGGAGTCCGGTGAAAACCAGCATGATTGAGTACGGGATGAGAAAGGCTCCTGTAAGAAATGGCAATTTCTTAATCAATAGTAGCTTGATTACAGTAATGTTTATCTAAGGAAGGTGTATAGCACAGCAAACAATGGGTTCAGTTACATTAGGGTACAGTACGGCTCTAGCAAGGGGGTTCATTTACATTAGGGGTATAGTGTGGCTCTAGCAAGGGGGTTCAGTTACATTAGAGGTACAGTACAGCTCTTGCAGGGGTTTCAGCTACATTAGGGGTACACTGCAGCTGAGGCAATGGGTTCAGTTACATTAGGGGTACAGTACGGCTCTAGCATGGGGTTCAGTTACATTAGGGGTACAGTACAGCTCTAGCAGGGGGTTCAGTTACATTAGGGGTACAGTACGGCTGAGGCAATGGGTTCAGTTACATTAGGGGTACAGTACAACTCTAGCAGGGGGTTCAGTTACATTAGGGGTATAGTGTGGCTCTAGCAAGGGGGTTCAGTTACATTAGAGGTACAGTACAGCTCTTGCAGGGGTTTCAGCTACATTAGGGGTACACTGCAGCTGAGGCAATGGGTTCAGTTACATTAGGGGTACAGTACGGCTCTAGCAGGGGGTTCAGTTACATTAGGGGTACAGTACAGCTCTAGCAGGGGGTTCAGTTACATTAGGGGTACAGTACGGCTGAGGCAATGGGTTCAGTTACATTAGGGGTACAGTACAACTCTAGCAGGGGGTTCAGTTACATTAGGGGTACAGTACAGCTCTAGTTGGGGGTTCAGTTACATCAGGGGTACAGTACAGCTACTCAGGATAATCTTTCCTCAATAGTGGAGGGGATAGGCTGCTGGGGGCTCTCATTTATTATTAATAAATAGAATGAATGGCGCCGGGGACTCTAGGCACTATAACCACTTCAATGAGATAAAGCATTTACGGTGTCTATGGAGTCCCTTTAATTATAAGTACACACCCCTCCACCCCACCATTTTCTGCTAGTATGTTATCATATTATATAAATAGACATCATAATGATGATAATTATAATAATAATGTTAAATATAATAACATGTGTAAATGATTTTGACATGACATCGAGAAGGCTCATTGTATTAATATTCTTGCTCCCTTTATTTATTTAAGTTATATCTTGTGTTTCCAATCTCTCCCCCAGTCTCTCCAGCCTTGTTCATGTCTAGTCTATAGCAGTGTCTATGCTGACATGGGGAGAAGAATTAGATCCGGGAGGAAGGCTGAGAGACATGGTGGGAGCAGAGTGAGGGACTCACAGAATGCTACCGTAACTAAAACTGAAGAACATAATGCTGATAGAGAAGTGTCTGAACACATATTAGGAGTGTGTAAGCAGTTTGTAATATTGTTTGTGTTTTTGTGTCCTCCGATTTCCATTTCTGGTCCATTTGGATCGGACAGGGTCACGTGCTATAGGTTGCTGACCCCTGCCTTTTGCAGTGCCAGAAGGTCAGAAATAAATCAGATCCTTCATTCACTGGCAGACGCCTGGGAGCCAAAGTGAGGCTTTTTAATATCTTTATATAACACAATATGTTGTAATATGGAGATATTGGCTCTTTCTGAGCGCACACACCCATCACATGCATTTACTTTCTCATTATCTGCGTCAGAGATGATGACCAGGGCCCCTTTACGGCTGGGGCACGGCTGATGTTTTATTGCCTTAATGACAATTTAATCTTATCTTTTGCCTTTGTATGAACCACAAATAGCGATATTATAACTAATGGCTGGACTGGAGAGGTTAATATAATTTACACTGTGTATAATGTCATAGAAACATAGAAACATAGACTGTGACGGCAGATAAGAACCATTCGGCCCATCCAGTCTGCCCAATTTTCTAAATACTTTCATGGGAAGGGCAGTCACCTTGAACCGCCAAGGCCATCACCAGACATGGCCGTCCCTCTGGGGCCAGACCTATAGAAGTGTATTTTGCATAGGTGCCAGCATTGTCACTTGGATAACCAAGCATGAATCCTAATACTCAATCAGGAATCCACTCGGAAACAGACAAAATCGCTTACCAGTTGTACAACTGGTGTATCAGTCACAAAGCTGACCTAGGACACAATGAATGGAAACGGCATCTGAAACTAAGGGTACAAATCACCAACTAGTGCATCCAACAAGTAATATTCTACTTGGACACAAAAGGTTACGGTTAAAGCCCACAACCAAAGTGCCAACTTTTCTAGGCCACGACATCTCATGCTTTGGTGCAACTGCATCAAAAAGATACTGTGACTTACAGAAGCCATGATCTGCTTCAGCAATACTCAAACTAGAGTGGAAATATTCCAACCACGAACCTGGAGAATGACCTGTGAGAGGAATCGTTATGTGGGCCCAGCATGCAGGACATAAAGGGCAATTTTCACTTTTACTGAACTTACATCATCAACTAGAACATTGAAAATGCCCAGGAACTGGTGTTAGGAGTGTTGTCATACCAGGAACTCCTACGGTATGTGTATGGAATGCAGGTTCCCAATAAGCCAGCATGATATCTACACTGCGGCTGCATGTGGTTGCCATACAATACCCAAGGCCCACCAATAGACACTATGTCCAGCTCGGTAAATGACCCCAGCCCAGTTAAACAACATTCACACCCCAGATAACACTCACCTCCTCCATTGCGGTAGCAGAGATATGGGAACCTCCAGACATTGCCGAGGCCCACACAGTACCCAATGCAGGAAAGAAGGAACTCATACTTTCCTCCCCAGGTCTCTCGTGTTTGGTTTGAGGATGTGGTGGGAGTCACAGGCTGAATATTAAGAGCTGTCTCAGGATGATGGGCATTGTGGGGTACTCCAGGTCCTGGCTCTGGGTGATGGGTATTCTGGGATGCCCCTGGTCCTGGCTCCTGCTGAAATTCATGAGAGATAAAAGAAGGAGTCATCAAACTTCACATTTTAGAAAAACAATACACTACACTGAACAGTTAAATTCCAGCGACCAGTAAATTAATCTGGATTCCTGATCTTTTTCCAAGCTCTTATCATCACATAGTCATGGCCTGGTTCAAGTGATGGGTTTATATTCTGCAGAGAGCAACATGCAGAGTAGCAAGTACAGGACCAGGCTGAGGAATTGTATGCAATGTTCCTAACTATCTGTATGTGTGTCTGTCTGTAAGTGTGGGCCTGTATGTGCGTCTCTCTGTATGGGTGTTGGTCTCTACAGTATATGTATCTGTCTTTGTGTCAGTCTGTATGTGTGTCAAACTGTGTGCATGTGTCACTTCTTCCATTAGTACACAAACATTTTCAGGTTTACTGGCCCATCAACGTGGCATCCGGCTAGCAAATAATTGTTTAAGAAAATGCATTTTACACCTACTGAATGCAGCTAAAGCCCTTATCCCTGTATATTGGAAACGAACTGAGGTCCCCACGGTTGCAGAATGGCGAAACAGAGTGGGAGACATACAGTTGGCGGAAGCACTACAGGCATCCCTGACGGGTCGGGGGACCAGGCACGCGGAGATGTGGCAACCATGGTTCGTCTACCAGGCTGGAGGGCACTAAAGGTCTCGTGAGGGGGGAGGGAGTGACGGTGGACGGGGAGACAGATCACGCGCCTACCCCGCCAAAGCCGTGGGGGTTGGGACCACTCTATCACTGGAAATATAATCCCTGGGCAGATGAAACCAACATCGGCCCGCCGACCCAACCCTCCCACACACATTCCGAAACGCTGAAAATACGTGACCCAACCGAGACTTCCCTTCTCGCACGCGACTATAACCACTGGGCACCCACGGGGCGCGATATGGGGACAAGGGGGCGGGGGGGGAACCTGATAGGACCGCTACTTTCTTTTCTCCCTTTTCGACTCTCTTTCCCATGCTGACCCCTCTTACATGTCTAATACACAATGCACACGCCTGGGGGACAGGGGGAGGAGGGGGAAGCCAAGAGTCAAGAAAGCCAAAAAAAAAAAGGAATGCATAATACTGGCACTATTATCGGTACATCGAATTGCGGGACATGGGAACACACCCATAGGATAACCAAGCCTAACCTTAAGACCAAAGCACCTACGCTCCTTTCATGCCAGGAGCTAGTTAACTATGTCCAGCCTATTATTAGGCACTCCTGCTACAAAGTATACTGTGTCTTATGAAGGCACCCGACTTAGAGCCACGCTTTATGTTAAAAGTCCGCTTACTAGCAATAAGGATGTTACATACTATACATATGTACGTACGCCAAAACAATGACGGTTGTCACTCTACATACTTTACCTTTCTGTTATCCTATGTACGCCTACTGTTAGTTACGTAACTTATCGCTGTAATTAAACCCTGTCAGGAGACATGGTTATGTGGGCACAAAAAAATGTGACTCAAAATATGGAAATATCGCTACAATACCCTTGTCTTCTAAGTAGGCCTGCGAGCCGAATTCTTTCTGTAACCCTCTCTTTTCTTCAATAAACAGATTTTCAAAAAAAAAAAGAAAATGCATTTTACGAGTTTTAACTATTCTAACAATGTAAAACCTGCAAAATAACCAGAAAATGGGTGTGCACTCATTAACCATTCCTGTAGCGCTTACTGTAAAATCACTTTTCGTTCTGTCAGCACGGAACTCTGTGTGTCCCCGTCGGCACATATGGTGTGATGGAAAAGTTCTGTTTGCTTTGAGTTTTGAATAAGAAATGGCAACAAACTGACCGTGTAAAATACTTCCCTGTTACGTCTGTTCCCATAACCAAATCTGCTTAGCTAAAACTTGTAAAATGTGTCCTGAACACCTCTCTCTTTCAGGAATTCTCTTATTCAAATGACAAAGTAGAACCTCAGCAAATTCTAAGTGGAAGATATTCTGTATGAGTAATACAATATCAGCATTCACAAAAACAATAATCCATTGAAAAGTGACCGATTTCCAACCGCGATGGCAATTCTCAAATTTATTAAAGCCAAATAGAGTCAGAAATCAGTCAGCAATAGTCGCACAGATACATTCCGTGTCCAGAATAAAATATGTGATTTCGCACCTCTGAATCCGATAGAAAGTATAGGATTCGGAAGATTCACAACACACGTTTTTTATAAAATTCGGAATCAAATGAATCTGTCACGTCGCACATTCCCCTGCTTTTACGGAAGTTAATGATAATCTGAAGTACTGTGCTGGCAGGACTAGCAGACGGTTAATTATGTGGCTGATGGCCAGCACTTGCTAGCCAGCCACGGCATTAAAAAAAGTTAAACAAAATAATAATTAATAAAAACCCATTGTGGGTCAGTAAGATCCCCACATTACCATCCGCAGGTGGGGGGATATCTACTAGATGTTACAAACAAGCAACTGGGCAGCCACTGCCGACCAGTCACTAGAAAGGCCACATCCCAACGGGACATAGGCACATAATCCGCCACCTGCTCCTGCCCATAGGTGGTCTGTCCACCTCGTGTATTTATTTTAAATTCCACCACACAATGCCGATAGGGCGACGGGGCCATGTCCACTCCCTTTCTAGAGACTGAGCACCAATGGCTATCCATTTGCTATAGTTAAAAGTTTAACAGATAGTTTTAAGCCTCATTTATGATAATATGCAGGTCTCATCAACACCCATAGGCTTCTTTAAAAAAAAAAAAAAAAAAAGTATTTTAACATTTTTGATGTGGCGGCTGGCTTGGCTAGGAAGGGCTGGGTAGCTGCCACGTAATTAACTCTCGCACTGCCACAGGATTTTTTACCATTTGCCCACTTGCTACTCGCGCATCCAGTGGCTAAATCGTTTAGATTTTTTTTTAGTATTCGGATCAGGATTTCAGCAGCTGGGCAGTGTTTGGTCCGAGCTGCAATCCGTACCAAGCTCAGGCCTGATCGGTGTGAATAGTCAGGATTTTGCGGTCTGAATGTCCCGTACGCAGCCAGGTGGTTTTGCCCCATTCTGACTTTAGTGAATAACCCTGTTTGACTGCATCGCTGCACCAGTCATGGCTGCAAAACAACGAAAACACAAAAATCAGAAGATAACCATTATTACTAAGAAACACATTGCGAGCAGCTGTACAGAAACTGATTTTAACACGTATTGTGCCCAAAGCAGGTGAACCCCTAGAACATTCCAAAAGTAATTGCACAGGAGGAGGGGCTTCATGATTTATTCTAGCAGAAGGTGGAGAACTGTCACTGATTATTAATGGCTCGGCTGTGTCCTAAACAAGTAATGCTTTATTGTGACAACATCCCCGGCAGAGTGTTTCATAAACAGTGAAATGTGTGTTTACACAGCACTTTCCAAGCAATTTCACTAAACACACAATTTCTTACCGTAAATTGTAATTCTATGATCAGACCTTAATCAACGGCCAAAAACATGCAGCAAAAAAATGTATGGCACATTATAACTACATAAAACCATCGTTACGTAAAAACAGTCACTACAAATACATAAAGCACCATTGATATATATAACAACCACTGGCAACATAAAATACAATCACAAACAATTCAATAAACACAACTCTTTAGAAAATGTAAATAAAATAGCAAATATAAATAATATAGAAATCATCACACAATACAATATAGACAGAAACAGGGAACAATCTGCGTCCTATAATGAGACTATAAGCACTGTTACGGCCTGTTATTAGGCTGAGAGTTGTAGGAGTTGCAGCAGTGTAATTAGCACATGTTTATACAGTATCGGGTGTTTTGGGGTCTGCGTTTGACAGTTTGGAGGTCGAATCATGCTGTAACTGAATAATGTTGCACATTATTGGATTAAGGGCCATTCCTTGAATGTTGAGTCAGTTTGCATCCTCCAGGCAGAGCCAGAACGTCCTGATAGAGTACAGCAAGTTCCAACAAGTTCTGCAATAGCAACACAGAGGGGCATTTTTGCTGCATATTTGATATTTCCATCTCCTCACACTCCACGCAACGCTGCGGTTAGTTACAGAACATGTCATCTTAGGGGCAGGTTGCCAGGTACAGCAACAAACAGGAGAAATGGCTTATATTAATTTCACCAATTTCTAAACACATTTACTGTAACTTAAAGACACATTACTTTGAGTATTATTACTGTGGAGCTCTGTTATACACTCAGACACATTACTGGGAGTATTATTACTGTGGAGCTCTGTTATGCACTCAGACACATTACTGGGAGTATTATTACTGTGGAGCTCTGTTATACACTCAGTCACATTACTGGGAGTTTTATTACTGTGGAGCTCTGTTATACACTCAGACACATTACTGGGAGTATTATTGCTGTGGAGCTCTGTTATACACTCAGACACATTACTGGAAGTATTATTGCTGTGGAGCTCTGTTATACACTCAGACACATTACTGGGAGTATTATTGCTGTGGAGCTCTGTTATACACTCAGACACATTACTGGGAGTATTATTGCTGTGGAGCTCTGTTATACACTCAGACACATTACTGGGAGTATTATTACTGTGGAGCTCTGTTATACACTCAGTCACATTACTGGGAGTATTATTGATGTGGGGCTCTGTGATACTCTCCGACACATTACTGGGAGTATTATTGCTGTGGAGCTCTGTTATACACTCAGACACATTACTGGGAGTATTATTGCTGTGGAGCTCTGTTATACACTCAGACACATTACTGGGAGTATTATTGCAGTGGAGCTCTGTTATACACTCAGACACATTACTGGGAGTATTATTGCTGTGGAGCTCTGTTATACACTCAGACACATTACTGGGAGTATTATTGCTGTGGAGCTCTGTTATACACTCAGACACATTACTGGGAGTATTATTGCTGTGGAGCTCTGTTATACACTCAGACACATTACTGGGAGTATTATTGCTGTGGAGCTCTGTTATACACTCAGACACATTACTGGGAGTATTATTGCTGTGGAGCTCTGTTATACACTCAGACACATTACTGGGAGTATTATTGCCTGTGGAGCTCTGTTATACACTCAGTCACATTACTGGGAGTATTATTACTGTGGAGCTCTGTTATACACTCAGACACATTACTGGGAGTATTATTGCTGTGGAGCTATGTTATACACTCAGACACATTACTGGGAGTATTATTGCTGTGGAGCTCTGTTATACACTCAGACACATTACTGGGAGTATTATTGCTGTGGAGCTCTGTTATACACTCAGACACATTACTGTGGAGTTATTATTGCTGTGGAGCTCTGTTATACACTCAGACACATTACTGGGAGTATTATTACAGTGGAGCTCTGTTATACACTCAGACACATTACTGGGAGTATTATTGCTGTGGAGCTCTGTTATACACTCAGACACATTACTGGGAGTATTATTGCTGTGGAGCTCTGTTATACACTCAGACACATTACTGGGAGTATTATTGCTGTGGAGCTCTGTTACACTCAGATACATTACTGGGAGTATTAATACTGTGGAGCTCTGTTATACACTCAGACACATTACTGGGAGTATTATTGCTGTGGAGCGCTGTTATACACTCAGACACATTACTGGGAGTATTATTGCTGTGGAGCGCTGTTATACACTCAGTCACATTACTGGGAGTATTATTGCTGTGGAGCTCTGTTATACACTCAGACACATTACTGGGAGTATTATTGCTGTGGAGCTCTGTTATACACTCAGACATTACTGGGAGTATTATTGCTGTGGAGCTCTGTTATACACTCAGACACATTACTGGGAGTATTATTGCTGTGGAGCTCTGTCATACACTCAGACACATTACTGGGAGTATTATTGCTGTGGAGCTCTGTTATACACTCAGACACATTACTGGGAGTATTATTGCAAATAGGGACCATCCTTCCTAAATAGGGAAACTTGGGAGATATTAAGATTCTGAAACCAGCTATTTCACAAAAGTGTAAATTGTCAGCAAATCCAAATTATTTTCAAATAATTTTTATTAAAGTTTTAAAATTTTGTATAACAAGTGATAGTAATACAAACATTGTATTAAGAGTAGGACAGGAAGGGTAACTTGGAAATGGGAAGGGGTATCCATCCATCATTGAAATAAACATAATGTATATGGCAAAAATGTACATCAATGCACTTTAACAATAAATATATCAAAGACCATAAACTGTTTTGATTTTTTCCTCCCATTTATCCCAGTTGTATTTTAATATTGGGAAACCATGCATATTGGCTCTATGCGATAATTCGTGTGCCTTGTTTTCTAGGATCAAATTAAAAACTTCTCTGAGAGATGGCACATTTTGGGACTTCCAATGTCTAGGTAAACAGGATGTAGCAGCGATCAGAATGTGGCCTATGATTATTTTATCTGATCTATTAACGGACGCCGGGAGTTTTTTAAATAAGGCTAGTGCCGAGGTTAAGATACTAATGGTTCCATTCACTTTAATAATTAGATCATGAATCATTTTCCAGTAATTAGTTAACTTGGGGCAGAACCACCAGATATGGGCCATATTGCCCACTCCCCCACAGTCTCTCCAACACCGGTCAAAATACATATTGTTCATGTTGTGCAATCTAGACGGAGCCAGGTACCAGCGATATAAGATTTTATAATGATATTCAAAATGGTCGATGCAATAAAAATACCTTTTAAACCTTTAAAAAAAAACGAACCATTCTTCTAAATCGTACTGGGCACCCAACTCCATCTCCCATGACAACATATGTTTTAATTTATCTAATGGCTTGGCATTATAAAACAAATAGCATAAGGATATCATACCTTTACTAGCGGGCTGTATAAAAAAAAAAAAAACTTTCTCTAAAGGAGATAACTCAAGTGATTTATAGTTTTTATCTGTTTCAGATACCTGGTATAGTTCTTTCAATTTGTCAATGATTAGCATACATTCGATAATTAGTGATGTCCCGAACGGTTCATCGAACGGTTCGCCACGGACTCATCATTGAGTAAACTTTGACCCTGTACCTCACAGTCAGCAGACACATTCCAGCCAATCAGCAGCAGACCCTCCCTCCCAGACAGTGGTGTATCCTGGTTTTGTGCTGCCCTAGGCATAATCGCCGCAAGGCTAACTGGGCATTAGGGGGCAGTGTTTTTTGCCGCACCCTGAAAATTGACGCCCAAGGCAAGTGCCTTGTTAGCCTTGCGGCTAATACGTCCCTGCTCCCAGACCCTCCCACTTCCTGGACAGCATCCATTTTACATTCATTGTGAAGCTGCATTCTTAGTGAGCTGTCCAGGAGGTGGGAAGGTCTGGGAGGGAGGGTCTGCTGCTGATTGGCTGGAATGTGTCTGCTGACTGTGAGGTACAGGGTCAAAGTTTACTCAATGATGAGTCCGTGGCGAACTGTAGCGAACCGTTCGTGACATCACTATTGATAATCCGTACTTAAGCTTCAATTTTTCCAAAGAAAGAATAGCATTGTCATAAAAAAAATTATCCAGATTAGTTATAGAGCAATCCTTCAACAATTCTATTTTTAAGGATGGTATATAGTCTTTCAATAACTCAATAGGCATTGCTCTATATAAACTGGGAGACTGGTCATTTTTAAAAACAATGTCCCAGGCCTTAAGCGTAGTCTTGGTAGATAAAAATAATTTTGTAATTCCAGGTCTTTTCTTAGAATTTAACCAAGGTAATTCTGATAATCTAACCGGTGAAATTTTTGATTCCTCTATTTCCATCCATCTGGGTTTATCAACCTGGCTGTTATTGCTCACAACCACTGCAGCGTGAGTGGCAAAATAATATTTGCGGATATCGGGGACACCGATACCGCCATTCGATTTATGGTGCTGCAGGGAAGCCTCACTCGGGAAGGCTTGTTCCCCCAGATAAACTTCAGCATTGTCGAGTGAACTTTATTAAAAAATGATAATGGGATGGAGAGAGGAATGGTCCTAAAAAAATATAAAATTTTGGGGAGTATCGTCATTTTAATAGATGCGACCCTCCCCAGCCATGAGAGCCCCATCCCACCCCATCTCTCCATCTCTTTTTGTAAGTCCGACCATGCTTTCCTCAAGTTGTGATTGTGCATATTGACCAAATTTTTGCATAAATTAATGCCAAGATATTCCATATAGTCAGTTCTCTAATCAAATAAATATGACTTCTTAAGGGCAATGGTGTCCAAATTATTTAAATGAAACGGGAGGGTCTGAGTTTTGGACTTGTTTAATTTGCAGTACGATATCTCGGCAAATTGAGTTAAAATGTCCTTGAGGTGTCTCAAAGATTCTTTTGGGTTTTTGACAGCTATGATTATATCGTCTGCAAACAGGCCAATTTTGTGAACGGATTCTTTAATAGCAATTCCTACAATTTGTGGGGTCGTTCTAATTAGTTCGGCCAGGGGTTCTATCGCTAAGACAAACAAAATTGGAGATAAAGGGCACCCCTGTCTCGTCCCGTTGGTTAGAGAGAAAGTTTTGGATGTGAAGCCAGAAGCTGAGACATGGGCGGAGGGTGCGCAATATAGCGCCTTAATTGCTGTGATAAAGGATGATGGTATGTTGAACCTGTCTAATGTTCTCCATAAATATCCCCAATGTATCCTGTCAAACGCATTCTCTGCGTCTAGAGATAGAAGCAAAGAAGGTGTTTTGGTCATATTGATATGCCGAATCAAGTTTATGAATCTTCTAGTTCTGTCTGGCGCCTGTCTATCCTGTACAAAACCTACTGTGTACTTGTGTGTACAGGAATAGTGAATAAACAGATTTTTGCAAGTTGCTGATGCCACGTAGTATGCATTTTTGTATGAAGCATTGCAGTGTTTTGTGGTCTAGAAACATTTCTACTGAACTTTAAATAATGAATGGACAAAAAATAAAAAAAAAATAAAAAAGGGGAACAAAAAACTTGGGCATATACCCCTATCAGGGGTGAAACAAAAACAGTGAAAGAGGGCCATGAGGGAGAACAAAAAAAGTTTCTCCATCTCAGGGTGTTAGGCCCAGGTTGGGAGGAGAAGGCTACTGGGTACGAGGGGAGCCAATATAAATAGTAAAAAAACAAAAAGCAACTTTTTAAGTATGAAATTTGAAAGGGCAAAAAGCACAAAACAATAAAAAATAATAATAAAATTAAATAAATATGAAATTATATAAAAAATAATTTTGATTGTATAAATTTAGAAGGTTTTAAGTAATCGAATCAATTTCTGAAATAAACCTAGGAGGCACATATCAAATAACCGTTGGTGCGCAAACTCAAAAGTCTGTCATAAAAAGGAGAAACAAGTCAAGATTCAAAGTAATCTCGATAAATCTCCGGACTGGAGCAGGACTCAATCTGTTTCAGAAATAAAGTTTTCTCAGAACCAAACCATAAAAATCAATAAAAAAAAATAAATAAAAAAAAAAAATATTCCTTTGTGAAGATAGGGAGAACATCTCAACTTGAAGCATCGAGCAACTTACGACCGTGGAAAATGAAGACTGTAGCTCTATGAGCTGGGATCTCAGGAAGTGTCCGATTAGATGGCGAGAGTCTATGAGGTGAAACCTGACGTCTATTCATAGAATTGATGAGTTCCATTTTTTCCTCAGGCAACGTGATTATGAAATTCCGACCATCCATACGGAAAAGGACTTTAACCGGGAATCCTCACCTATATCTTATCCCTCTTCGTCTTAACTCTGAGGTGAAAAGTTGAAATTCCCTGCGTCGCCTCATTGTTTAAGCAGAGAAGTCTTGGAAGACCTTAATGCCACTGTAATCTCCCGTGAGGCCTGACGCGCGTACTGCACCAAGAAATTCCTCTTTAATGTGATAGTAGTGGAATCTCACTATCACATCATTGGGTGCAGCCGGAGGTGCATTGCCAGGTTTGGGCAATCTATGGATGCGGTCCAATAGTAAATCCGTATTCTTAGCGGTTGGTAGAGCTGACTTCACCATTGTCTGGAAATAGCTTTGTAATTCCTGAGAATCGATATTATCAGGGATCCCCCTGATCCTTAGGTTATTACGCCTACTTCTTTCCTCAGCGTCGGCTAACTTTTCAACTTTTACGGTTTCAACCAGATCCAGGTGAGATTGCTCTTGCAAGTGCAATCTATTCTCTATTATTTCCATTCGTTGATTAATGCCCTCCATGGCTCCATATAATGCGTCAAAGTCTTTTTTAAAGTCGTTTTTCAAATCAACTCTCAAATCTTAGATGAGTTGAATTATCATGCCAGCTGACGGTGGCAGATCTGCCAATTCAGGTGGCATATTGGGATTGTAAATCGCTGCTTTAAATGCTTTACTAGCCATATTGGAGGTGGCAGTGGGCATCTTGGGAGTGGAATACATAATATCTGGACTGGCAGCCATCTTTATTGTGGCATCATGACATATTCTCTGTGGTAGTGCAGAACCAGAACTTGTTTGGAGCACTTCAGCTCCTAATTCCATACTGTTATCATCTGGGCTTGCTATAGCCCTTACTGTGCCTTTAAATGTTTTGGGTCGGCCAGCAGAGCCCCCCCCCGCCGAGACCGACAACCTGGAGGCTGAGGATCCCGACGGGGAGCGTGACCTCACACTGCCCTCCCCTATACTTGCAACCCGGTCGCTTTTGTAAGTGAGCGACCGGACTGCTCTAGTGTTAGACCGTGAGCGGCTTCCTGGGTGGTCCTTGACGCTCGCGGGAGACACAGCACTGTGCTCCGAGCATGCTGAGTGTTTGGAGCACTCTGAGCCGCACACGGAAGTGTCAGCTAGTGCGGCCGCGGTCCCGCCGCCCTCAGGAAGCCGCGAACAGGTTGCGGCCGCACAGGGATGGGATTTAGCTTGGGAGACCAGGCGGAAGGTAGGGAGGGATTTCCCCAATGCCACCAACGATATTTTAAGCGGTGAAACAAGCCGCGAGCCGGATTTAGAAGCAGGGGAGTGTGCCTGGGAACCTTTACTCACCCCAGCAGCTCCTGCTTCCACTTCTTCATCCCAGGTATGGTTTTTTCAGGCTTTTTTTGCTTCTGCATGCTAGATATTGGATTGGCTTTTTGTAGCATCAATTAGAGTTGGTCCATTAAAATTAAAATTTGGACTGTTGGAACAAAAAATGTACCCCCTTGTCCAGGAGCCTCTCTAAAACGTGGCCATCTAAGATGGTGGCCAAGACACGCCCCAGCAAATCCAAATTCTATGTGTGAATTCGAAGTGATTTGAAATTGCAGGTCTAAATGTGACTTCACATGTAAAATCTCTTTTCAATTCACTTTGATTTATCACCAATTAACACTTTAGAGAATAGCTGACCGTCTCAACGTGATGATATCATCACACAGCACATAACGCCAACGATATAAAACGGCAGAAAGCGCTCTCATTAATTTGATGGATTCTTTCTCCTAACACAAGGAGTGTGTCCACGCGCTTCTCATTGCCTTGTAAACGAATTGCGCTGTGAGGGCTGTGAGCGTGTCACACTGAGTGTGACAGCTAGTTTAATAACCTAATCTCATCTAATTACAGTTTGGATCACAGTGACTCAACTCCCCAGGCAGGTTCAGCTATAATTTATAGAAAACAGGCCACGTTTAACCCTTCCTGCCACATTAAAAACTCAGAGTAAAGTGATATTTACTGACTATACGGAGGGTAGCTGTGGAAATCAGAGCTTGATCAGTTTAGATGAAATATTCTGTATTTACAGCCTAAGGGAAGCCATGTTAAGGGTGATGAGCATAGGTTAGGAAGATAACCTGCACCCCCATCTCCTTAATAATGTTAAAAATCCTGAACCCCAAATTTTGCTGGAATTACACTCATTATACATAGCACTATTAAGGTGTTGCGGCCTTCTCATTCTGGCGCCACTATAACACTGCTCATTTTGACGTCACTAACACGCAGTTAAATAAACAGCCAGAGAGTTTGCCTCAGTTATTGACCCTTTAACATATACTGAGAGCAGTATACAGAGCGGGCTATACAGAGCATGCTATACAGAGCAGGCTATACAGAGCGGGCTATACAGAGAGCGGTAAACAGAGCGGGCTATACAGAGAGCGGTAAACAGAGCGGGCTATACAGAGTGGGCTATAGAGAGAGCGGTAAACAGAGAGGACTATACAGAGTGGGCTATACAGAGAGGGGTAAACAGAGAGCGGTATACAGAGCAAGCTATACAGAGCGGGCTATACAGAGCGAGCTATACAGAGAGCGTTATACAGAGAGAGCTATACAGAGCGGGCTATATAGAGCTATACAGAGTGGGCTATACAGAGCGAGCTATACAGAGTGCGCTATATAGAGCAAGCTATACAGAGCAAGCTATACAGAGAGCGTTATACAGAGAGAGCTATACAGAGCGGGCTATATAGAGCTATACAGAGTGGGCTATACAGAGCGAGCTATACAGAGAGCTATACAGAGCGCGCTATACAGAGCGGGCTATACAGAGTGCGCTATACAGAGAGGGCTATACAGAGAGGGCTATACAGAGAGGGCTAAACAGAGAACGCGCTATACAGAGAGTGCGCTATACAGATCGGGCTATACAGAGAGCGGTAAACAAAGCGGGCTATACAGAGCATGCTATACAGAGAGGGCTATACAGATCGGGCTATACAGAGAGCGGTAAACAGAGCGGGCTATACAGAGAGCGCTATACAGAGAGCGCGCTATACAGAGCACAGGGCAGGAGGTGACAGTCAGGTGTTACAGCCGCTATCTCTTTAAATTAGCCATATTCACTTCTATACATTCCACTGGTAGGCAGTTCTCTGATCGTTCCCAGACGAGGAAGTGAGGCGCAGTTTTTATAGCTCACAGTTTATTTTTAAACCCTCAATTGCTGCAGGTTTATTTTTTATGAGTTGCTCTAAAGATGGGTGTGTAGCTCTATTAATAGGTAATCGAGAGGTTAATGCACTGTGCCATTTCCTTCTCTAACAAATACAATTTCTTGCTGAAAATTGCTGGGAATTATTGCCAAGCTTCACTTGTCTTCATTGCGCAGACCAGTAGTTTTTCCGGCGTTCTCCTCTAAGAACTGGGCAGGATGCAGTGCCAATCAGTGTACCAGACAGGACGCAGTGCCCCACAGTGTGTCAGACAGGACGCAGTGCCCCACAGTGTGCCAGAATGAATGTCGTGCCTCTCAGCACACGTTAAAGGATGATTTGCTTTTCCTTGAACTGTGCAAGATGCAGCGCCATCAATGTGCCAGGAGAACACAGCACCATCAATGTACCAGGAGAACACAGCACCCCTCAATGTGCCAGGAGAACACAGCGCCCCATAATGTGTCAGGAGAACACAGCGCCCCATAATGTGTCAGGAGAACACAGCGCCCCATAATGTGTCAGGAGAACACAGCGCCCCATAATGTGTCAGGAGAACACGGCGCCCCATAATGTGTCAGGAGAACACAGCGCCCCATAATGTGTCAGGAGAACACGGCGCCCCATAATGTGTCAGGAGAACACGGCGCCCCATAATGTGTCAGGAGAACACGGCGCCCCTCAATGTGTCAGGAGAACACGGCGCCCCTCAATGTGTCAGGAGAACACGGCGCCCCTCAATGTGTCAGGAGAACACGGCGCCCCTCAATGTGTCAGGAGAACACGGCACCCCTCAATGTGCCAGGAGAACACGGCGCCCCTCAATGTGTCAGGAGAACACGGCGCCCCTCAATGTGCCAGGAAAACACGGCGCCCCTCAATGTGCCAGGAGAACACGGCGCCCCTCAATGTGCCAGGATAACACGGCGCCCCTCAATGTGCCAGGAAACACGGCGCCCCTCAATGTGCCAGGAAAACACGGCGCCCCTCAATGTGTCAGGAGAACACGGCGCCCCTCAATGTGGCAGGATAACACGGCGCCCCTCAATGTGCCAGGAAAACACGGCGCCCCTCAATGTGCCAGGAGAACCCGGCGCCCCTCAATGTGCCAGGAGAACACGGCGCCCCTCAATGTGCCAGGAGAACACGGCGCCCCTCAATGTGCCAGGAAAACACGGCACCCCCCAATGTGCCAGGAGAACACCGGTGCAGTGGTCCAGGCAGGATGTATGAATTGAAGAGATATTGCTATAAATGTGATATGTATCCATGCTTTAATATTTCTCTATTTAGAAATATTTGAAAGCTTTCCTTTTCAGTGTGCAAAGTTTTCTAAACAATCAGAATAAAGGTTTGGTTTTTACTGATCCCTGTCAGTCTGTCTATATTTAGGATATCCACTCACCTGTGCAGTTTCTGGGCTCGCAGACACCTCTCCTCCCCCGACTGTCTCCCCCAGCTGCATGTCTCCCCCAGAGGACTCTCCCATATGCACCCCCTCACTCCATTTTTCAGGGGGCAGCTTCATTTTTTAGCTGGATTCTGGGGGTCTCTGACATCCCCAGGACAGGCAGACACAGTCTCAGACACACATAGAAAGCAGCAGCAACTATCCTTCATACAAAGACAATCTCACCTGGGGCCAGGTGAGCTTAGCTCCACCCACTGCTCCCATGTCATCATTCTATCTCCATGGTAACAGGGCCTGACCCAACCTGAAATGTCAGTCAGTGAAAGGCAGGGTGGGATCAGTTCATTGAATGGCACAGTGTGTGAGTGTAATGAGTCCCTGCCCAGATTACTGATGACAATCACAATCCTGGGAATAAAGTCCCACACAGGACGCTGTCACTGGAATTTAAATTCAAATCTAAAGAAAAATCTATACATTATTAAAATATACCACAGATTATCCACGCAATGCAGCAAGTCAGGTATTCTATCCTTTATCTACACGTGATATACAGTGAGGAAAAAATGGATTTGATCCCCTGCTCATTGTGAATGTTTGCCCACTGACAGAGAAAGGATGTCTATCATGTTAATGGTAGGTGTATTTTAACAGTGAGAGAATTACAAAAAAAATCCAGAAAAACGCATTTCATAAAAGTTATACATTGATTTGCATGTCAGTGAGTGAAATAAGTATTTGATCCCCTATCAATCAGCAAGATTTCTGGCTCCCAGGTGTCTTTTATACAGGTAACGAGCTGAGATTAGGAACACTCTCTTAAAGGGAGTGCTCCTAATCGCAGCTTGTTACCTGTATAAAAGACACCTGTCCACAGAAGCAATCAATCAGATTCCAGACTCTCCACCATGGCCAAGAGAGCTGTCCAAGGATGTCAGGGACAAGATTGTAGACCCACACAAGGCTGGAATGTGCTAGAAGACCATTGCCAAGCAGTGTGGTGAGAAGGTGACAACAGTTGTTGCGATTATTCGCAAATGGAAGAAACACAAAATAACTGTGAGTCTCCCTCGGTCTGGTTCTCCATGCCAGATCTCACCTCGTGAACGGTGAGATCTGGCATGAGAACGGTGAGGAATCAGCCCAGAACTACACGGGAGGATCTTGTTAATGATCTCAAGGCAGCTGGGATCATAGTCACCAACAAAACAATTGGTAACACACTACACCGTGAATGACTGAAATCCTGCAGTGCCCGCAAAATCCCCCTGCTCAAGAAAGCACATGTACAGGCCCCTCTGAAGTTTGCCAATGAACATATAAATGACTCATTGGAGAACTGGGTGAAAGTGTTGTGGTCAGATAACACCAAAATCAAGCTCTTTGGCATCAACTCAACTCGTCGTGTTTGGAGGAGGAGGAATGCTGCGTATGACCCCAAGAACACCATCCCCACCATCAAACATGGAGGTGGAAACATTATGCTTTGGGGCGTTTTTCTGCTAAGGGGACAGGACAACTGCACTGCATCAAAGGGATGATGAACGGGGCCATGTACCATCAAATCTTGGGTGAGAACCTCCTTCCTTCAGCCAGGGCATTGAAAATGGGTTGTGAATGGGTATTCCAGCATGACAATGACCCCAAACACACAGCCAAGGCAACAAAGGAGTGGCTCAAGAAGAAGCACATTAAGGTCCTGGAGTGGTCTAGCCAGTCTCCAGACCTTAATCCCATAGAAAATCTGTGGAGGGAGCTAAGGGTTCGAATTGCCAAATGTCAGCCTCGAAATGGAATGGATCTTCAAAGAGGGGTGTTTGCAAACTTGGTGGTTAACTACAAGAAATGTCTGACCTCTGTGATTGCCAACAAGGGTTTTGCCATTAAGTACTAAGTCGAAGGGGTCAAATACTTATTTCACTTATAGACCTACAAATCAATGTATAACTTTTTTTACATGCGTTTTTTTGGATTTGTTTTTTGTTATGTCTCTCATACACCTACCATTAAACTTATAGACTGATCATTTCTTGGTCAGTGGGCAAACGTTCAAAATCAGCAGGGGATCAAATACTTTTTTATTTCACTGTACATTATCTAGATAATCTATACATTATCCAGACATCATGTACATTATTCTATACATTATCCAGAATTAATGTACATAAACTGGACATTCTATACATCATGTACATTATCCAGACATTCTGTACATTATCCAGACATTATCCAGACATTCTACACATTATCCAGACATTCTACACATTATCCAGACATTATCCAGACAGTCTACACATTATCCAGACATTCCATACATTATCCAGACATTCTACACATTATCCAGACATGCCATACATTATCCAGACATTCTACACATTATCCAGACACTCCATACATTATCCAGACATTCTACACATTATCCAGACACTCCATGCATTATCCAGACATCATGTGCATTATTCTATACATTATCCAGACATTCCATACATTATCCAGACATTCTACACATTATCCAGACACTCCATACATTATCCAGACATTCTACACATTATCCAGACATTCCATACATTATCCAGACATTCTGCACATTATCCAGACATCATGTGCATTATTCTATACATTATCCAGACATTCCATACATTATCCAGACATTCTACACATTATCCAGACACTCCATACATTATCCAGACATTCTACACATTATCCAGACATTATGTACATTATCCAGACATTCTACACATTATCCAGACATTATGTACATTATCCAGACATTCTATACATTATCCAGACATCATGTGCATTATTCTATACATTATCCAGACATTCCATACATTATCCAGGCATTCTGCACATTATCCAGACATTCCATACATTATCCAGACATTCTGCACAGTATTCTGACTTTCTATACATGATCCAGACATCATGTACATTATTCTATACATTATCCGGTTCTATACATTATCCAGATATCAGGTACATTATTCTATACATTATCCCGAAATTATGTACATTATCTGGACATTCTATACATCATGAAGCTCTTTCCATGGAGGATCCCATGGTCACACTTACACAGCTTGACACTAGGTGGAGCTTCCGCCATCCAGTCATATCCTGACCGTCTCTGGGACAGCTTTAAGGAAATTAAGCTCTTTCCATGGAGGATCCCATGGTCACACCAAGTCCACCATACACAGCTTGACACTAGGTGGAGCTCCCGCTATCCAGTCATGTCCTGACCGTCTCTGGGACACCTTTAAGTAAATAAAGCTCTTTCCATGGAGGATCCCATGGTCAAACAGAGTCCGCCATACAAAGCTTGACACAAGGTGGAGCTCCCACTATCCAGTCATATCCCGGCGTCTCTGGGACAGCTTTAAGGAAATTAAGCTCTTTCCTTGGAGGATCCTGTGGTCACACAGAAATAAACTGTAATGATACAAAATCTGCCCAGCCTTTTTTTTTTTTATTATTCTTTATTTGTCATACGATAGGTTATAGCAAGTACAATACAACTTACAGGCTTACGCAGAAGCCAATGGCAACTATAACTTTCTTGGGCGTACGAAGTGTATTACCACTACACATTGACAAGTCATTTAGAAACCTTGTGTGCCTTGCTACCCATCGAGGATTTTAAGATTAACTTTATGCTTCCACTCAACGGGTGAAACAACTGCATAGAAACATTCGGGCTTACGCAGAAGCCAACATAAGCATTGTAAAAAGCTAAAATATACTTATCAGGTAGGCCAAGCGAGATCTACCCGCGCTGCCCAGCCTTTTGCCAAAACATATGGGCCCTTTGAAAAATTATGTGGTTTATGTACTTTTGTACTCCAGAAAGAGAGACCAACCGTTAGCCCTAATTCCCTGGAACTGTTTTGGGTATATTTTATTTTTATATTTAACATTATACTACTAGTGACTATTGGCCAGTGGGACTAGAGCTAGGTGCCCTCGAAGGCACAGGGGGGCTTGAGTAGCAGTATCAGTATAGTGTTAGTCATTTACAATACGTATGGTGTGAGAGCGGTATCCTATTCATTATCGCTGGGGACTAAGACAGGATAATTAGACACTTATGTCTTCAGTCCATTAGCCTCTCAACACTTAACTACTCAAGGAGGTTTTTTTGCTATAGCCCTCTTCTATCCTTATTATCTTATATCACTAAGGAACTGGTGTTCATTCTTTACAATACTAGCTCTTTACGTTACTGCAAAGTGGCCTGTGTTTTCTCCACTAGTCTCGAGAAGACCAGGATCTGACTTAAGAATATTACCAACATTTATAGGGACCTTATTCTCCCTCTATACATTGAAGCTTCAAGCAGGCGTTATTTATTTATTTATTTTTGCAAGTACACCAGAGTGATATTAAGGGGCAATACATTGAGCCTGTCTTTCTGACATTTCAAACCCTAGACGATTGAACACTCCGTTTCAGTCCGGTGTTAAGACTCAGGCGCCATTCATCTACAAGACGATAGTAACATTCATGGACAATATGTTTACCTGTATTAGAGACAGTACGCTTCTTAACCACCAATATAGCCCACTTTAGTCCTGTATTTATCGACACACGTGACAGAACTACTCCAGGACTAACAGGGATTAGCAGGGACACTGTCTATTCCAAGCACTGGCAACGTACAGCAAGCTATACAGATCTTTATTATTATTAGCGAATATTAGGGATATTATCCCAAGACATTCCAGCTTGCAATAGTATATAAGATACCGGTACGATATCCGATGCGTTACAATACCACTAGGGTATTTTTAAAGGGTACTTTCTCAGCCCCCGTATTATATTCTCTGTATGTACATTAGCACGTTTGGTGTATTATTCACGTTTGTCTATATAAATTTTGTTATTTTTATCAGATTAGTTCTCTGTCTGGCAACAATTCTGCTATTAATCTAGACATCTTTTTGTGATTTTTAGTCGACTACCTAGAATACCCAGGTACACTATCCTTGCTTTCCTACGTTTACATTTGGGGTTACCCTCTGTTCCCTTAGTGTACTTACCAATTGGCTCTATCCCCGTTCATTTGTCTTTCTGTTTTGGGCATAGGACCATGTGCACGGTCGGTCAAAATTATGACTTCCATGGAAATCACTCACAGCACCCTCACTAGCACACACATACACACACACACACTGCACCCCTGACACTCACAGCACCCTCTCTCACACACACACTGCACCCCTGACACTCACAGCACCCTCTCTCACACACACACTGCACCCCTGACACTCACAGCTTCCTCACACGCACATAGCACCCTCACGCAAACACAACACCCACACACACACACTGCACCCCTGACACTCACAGCACCCTCTCTCACACACACACTGCACCCCTGACACTCACAGCTTCCTCACACTCACACACTGCACCCTCACACACAGCTTCCTCACAAGCACATAGCACCCTCACGCAAACACAGCACCCATCACTCACACACACACACACTATACCCCTTACACACACACACACTGCACAATATGCTTTCCTAGCATTTTAGTCTCCTGGTATCCCAACTATGGAGACACCAGAGACAAATTTCAAGCAAAAACAGTGCAAGCATGTTATTAAATTTGCTTGTGCTGTGCAGAACAAATACAGGGTAATTTTCTCATGCTAGAGCTCTTCAGCAGAGCTCTGCGCATGGTCTACCCTGGAAGAGCATTGAACCAACATGCTCACTTTGTGATGGGGCGTGCTTGTCATTGCCCCACCCCCTTTTTAGTGGGCCGCTGTAATTAAAAAATGCCCGGGCCTAATTTTCTTCCCAGTCCGGCCCTGACTGTTAGAGATCCTTCCTGGGTCATGGCTGCCTAAAATGCATCCAAACATTCAGTATCTCCTCCCTCTGCATGCAGACACTGAACTTTCCTCATAGAGAATCATTAATTCAATTCATCTCTATGAGGAGATGCTGATTGTCCAGGGCTGTGTTTGAATCATGCTGGCTCTGCCCCTGATCTGCCTCTTTGTCAGTCTCAGCCAATCCTATAGGGAAGCACTGTGATTGGATCAGGCTACCACTTCTGATGATGTCAGCAGACAGCATGCTTTTCTGAGGCAAACAGCATGCAGAATTACAGCTTCAGGGTTGAATACAGTAAGATTTTGCTATATTTATGGAGGCATGAGTTGCCCAGGGGGGCTAGATGGTGGTGTTAACACTATAGGGTCAGGAATACATGTTTGTGTTCCTGACCCTATAGTGATCCTTTAACTTCAAAGAAACCACAAACTTAAGTGCTCTCTCTGTTAGGCCATTCGTATAACCGAACAACACGTGCTGAAGAAAATGGCAGCCATCTTGTTGCACAAACGCAGGGAGCGGGACTTGGTTGTCGAGTGTCTGGAACTAAAGGTTGGTTGACCTCGCGAACATCGGTAATTTTACACGAACGCCTGCTTCTTTTTACGACAAGCCAGGAGAGTGCTGTTCGGTAGTGTAACGGATCACCTGGCACCCCGACTGGGTACCTCCGTTAAAGGATGCTCCTAGCGTTTCCTGAGGATTCCAAGCACTCTGGCAGACACCACAATCACCAAACCGGAGAAGCGTATACCTTCTCTCAAGCATATGAATGCTATAAACAGCTGAATAGGCAAAAACAATACGGATGGGTTTAGACTCCTAGCAGTCAAACTGGAACAGCATACAATAAATCCTTCCCCAATAATGAGACGACACTTCACTTTGAGGGTTAAACAGGAATTCCTGGTTTATTCACACCACCTCATTTTAAGATATTCTCCCATGCAAGGGAGGGATTTACAATAATTAGTACAACAGCCAATCCCATACCTGTTACCTCCCACACATCTCCTCCCCTTAGATTAATACTTAACATAATTATACCGTACACACTTTTCCCCAATTCTTGGATGTACCCCAAATATGGGGGTACACCTTTAAATGTTACATCCCCTGGTAGCCCTGATCTGGGTGAGACACGTATCCAAAAATCACCCAGATCGGACCAGAGGTTCGGTAATTATGGAGGGTTAAAGTTTTGACCGACTGCATGGCAAAAGCATCTGAAAATAGTTCCATGCATTTTGGCCTTGCAGTCGGTCACAGAGAAGGGAATGAAAACACACGAATTGCCTGGGTTATAGAGCTTGGGGAGGATTCGTATGAATCCCCTTGTTCGTGGGAGTTTCTGCACGAATTGCTGGAAGTCTGGAGGTCTCAGCGGTGTTTGCCTAGTCGAGTGTCCGATTTTAGTTCCAGACACTCAACGGCAAAACACCGCTCGGGAGTTTAGGATGGCTGCCGCCCCATGTTTGTTTCCCGAATGGTGGCCACCCAGAGGACAAAGAACACATTACACAGATTGCCAATTACCCGTTTGCAACAATGTTGCAAACGGGTAATTGGAGGCACACTTATTCCCGGGTGGTCTGGCTGTTCGGTAGTTTCACTCAATATAATGAATGGAGTGATTCTACCGAACAATCAGTGAATGCTGCATACACATATACAATTTAGCCGGGCACACAGGAACATACATAATATAAAAGGCATCCTTACTGTAATCTGCTACCAAGTCTTAAAGGGGTATTGTTCCTAAAAGTCATAATATGTCCCCGGATGGCCCTTAAAGGGCCAGTAGCAGCAATATAAAATACCACATGCCCAAATATTGCATTAAAAGTACAAATTCACCAGGGGCTATAGTCAGCAGGTAGGAGGCGGGCAGCCAGGCCTCTCCAATGTCCAGTGGCGAGGCGGGTTCCGCCACAGGTAGGATTGTTTTTACGAACTAGGCCAGTGGTAGTCAACCTTTTTCTACCTACCGCCCACTAATGCATCTTTCTTGATGGAAAAATGTCCTTACCGCCCACCAGTTTTCACGCAAGTGCAGAATATTTTATTTAGAAAGGAAGGTGTTTTAAAAAAAATAAATGTACGTACATGTGGCAAACCTAGCCACTCGGACTATAACTGGACACTATGCCTTTAAGGGTTGCCTATAGGTCTGGAGAGAGATGCATTGTACCTGTATGTGCCTGTTTCATGTATTTCCTGCATTGCCTGTACTATCTGTTCCGCCGAATGCAAATGGCGGTTTGTATGGGGATTCCCGTTCGTTTCGCGAACGGCACTTTGGAGGGCCGTTCGTGAAACGAATACGATACCCCCTAATAGCCCACACACTTAGAGGCGTGTGGCGCTAGTTAACCGATTGCAACATTGTTGCAATCGGTTATTAGAGGCTCTCCTGGGTGGCCGTCGTTCGACTACCGACCATGCGGCGGGCGGCCATCTTGGATCCCTGGTTCATCAGCGGGTTCGTGTCGTCGAACGCATAGCATTCCCTACAGTTATTCGACGGCACGAACACCGTTAAGCCTCCAGGACGTTCGGGAGTTTCAGGACCAGGTTCATTAAAGACAATCGGTTCTTTTCATGTGTTTTGAAAGAAAGTTGTTTTCTGTGCGGCGTTCGGTTATTTTAGCTGGGATCTGAGCGGCAATCTCACGAATGATGCGCCCAGACCCCAGCTATCTACCGAACGTCCATTCGTGTAAATCCACCGTATATTGTACCAACTGTGGATTTTTGTGTGAATTGCCGGTTCTGCTGCACGAGGGGATAATCCCCTTAACGGTGCATTCTGGGAGGATGATCCCTCTCGTGCAGCGGTGCCTGATGGGAGAAATATGTAGTACAGTAAGTCCCCCATGTAGTCCCCTCCTGTACAACCCCTGTAATGTCTGTTTGGAAACCCCTTGCATGGGGAATTGCATAAATACTGTGACCTGTGATTAAAACCTCAGTTGACTCCCAGCCTATGTGTCGTCTAGTTCTTGGGAAGGAAGGGTTACTGCAGTGCTGTTTGGATTATTATATGCTGATTCCCTGGATTATCCTTTGTTGTTCCTGTTACCCAGCGGAGATATCGTGGATCATACTGCCTCTCCGCTACAATTGGTGGCAAGCGACGGGATTGAATTTACACAGCAAAGCAACGTTCGGCAGATTTTTAAACGAATCAAGGAACAAGCATTCGGGAATTAGCGCATTCGAATAAACCTCACGAACAGCAGGTGAATGGGAACAGATTACACCCTGCTAAAACGGAGCACATTAAAGGAGCTGCTGGAAGCAAGAGGAGCAATCGCCAGTAACAAGGCAAAGGCTGTCCTAATTGCGGAGCTCATGGAAGGAGACAGAGCCGCAGCTGCTGCAGCACCTCAAATGGAGGGACAAAACAACGAATTTACAGCGGAATTCCGAGCACGACTGGCTTTATTTCCTGAACCACCATCTACAGAAATGTTTAACCGGCTGTTCGCCGATGTACAGGAGTACATTATGGCTAGGGGGCCGCCAGGAAACCAGCAAGCCAGAGAAAGAGCCGCAACGCCAATCCATAGTTTCCCAGGGAAAACCAAAATCCCATATCAAGCCTTCAAAAGCTATGTGGAGACAGAGGGTGGCGTTGACGACTATCTACAGGATTTCGAGAGACTGTGTTTGCTGCACGAGATTAATGATGCAGACAGAGTACCCCTACTAGCAGGGAGATTATCTGGGCGAGCCGCCGAAGCGTACCGGGCAGTACCAGACGAGGATAGTAGAGACTACGCTAAAGTAAAACGGGCCATCCTAGCCCGGTATGCCATCACCTCAGAGGCATACCGAAAGAAGTTTCGGGACATTAAAAAACCCAGTAAGGACACCCATGTGGAGTGGGCGCACCAGCTACAACGAGCTGCCAAAGGGTGGCTGGAGGCCGCCCAAGTTGATACATTGGAGGGTCTGTTCCAGCTAATGGTACTGGAACAATTCTTCAATGGCGTCCCGATCTACCTACAAAACTGGATCCGGGACAGGAAACCACACACCCTGCAGGAAGCGGCTAATATGGCAGACGATTTCCAGGACAATCGGAGAGATCAACCCATACCAACCCGAGCCACCATCCCCCCTACAATGGCCAGCCCTCCAGGGGGCCCCGCAACGTACCAGCGGCCAGGGGTAAACCAGAATTCCTACCCCCCCAGATATTCAGCACGTCCACCAATCCGGTGCCATACCTGCAACCAACAGGGGCACATCCAGAGAGACTGCCCACGGAACCGGCCTCGACCTAGCTGGAATAACGCCGCCCCGAGCAACCGTGCCGCAGTCCACTGCCTACAGGCCGAATCCGACCAAAATCTGGAGTTGGGGACGACCCGGGAGGAACCTCTCGGTACTCTACACGAGGTGAACCCTATCCAGGCCGCCTCCGATAACCGCCAAGGGCACCGCCAGGAAGTACACATGGAAGGGAGGAAAGTACAAGGACTTCGTGACTCGGGAGCCACCCTAACTCTAGTACGCAGTCATCTGGTACCAAAGCCCAAGCTCACGGGGGACTGTGTGGCTGTGCGGGTGGCTGGGGGAGCCATTTACAAAGTACCCACGGCCAAGGTGCACTTGAATTGGGGAGCGGGGCACGGGAATGTATATGTGGGGATGATGCAAGACTTGCCAGCGGATGTGATTTTGGGCAACGATTTGGGGGAGCTGACTTCGGCTTTTGTTCCCCAACCCACCGTACAAGAAGCATACCCGGTTGTGACCCGGCAACAGGCCCGCACCACGGCCCCATTCGAACACTCTGAGGCTCAGGTAAGCAATGACCCTCCCCTACCCCCTACCCTGCCCTGGGCCAATTCCCTAGAGTTCGGGGCCGAAGTAGCCCTAGACCCTTCGTTACAGGTGTACAAAGACCGCCTAGATAAAAATCAAGCTGGGTTAGAGGGGGAAAGATATATCTGGGACAAGGGGCTACTATATCGGCACGCAGAGAAGGTAGTGTCCGGGTCAATACCGTTGCCCATTAAACAGCTAATAGTGCCTCGAAAGTATAGGTTAGAGCTATTACGCATAGCCCATGATATCCCCCTGTCTGGACACCTAGGCATCAGTCGGACCAAGCACAGGCTGACCCAAAATTTCTTTTGGCCAGGTATTTCCCAGGATATTAAGCGGTATTGTCAGACCTGCGATACCTGCCAAAGGGTAGGCAAGAGGGGGGACAGATACAAAGCCCGACTACGGTCTCTGCCCATCATTGAAGAACCATTCAGTAGGGTGGCAGTAGACATTATAGGTCCCCTCGCAAAACCCAGCCCCTCCGGCAAGAAGTATGTCCTAACTGTGGTGGACTACGCCACCCGGTACCCCGAGGCAGTGGCCCTAACGAACGTACACGCAGAAACGGTAGCCGAGGCCCTGATGAGGATATTCACCCGGGTAGGATTTCCCCGGGAGATTATCTCCGATAGAGGCACCCAGTTTACTGCGGACGTGACCCATCAGCTCTGGAAAATATGTGGGATACAACAAATCCTCAACTCCCCATATCACCCCCAGTCCAATGGGCTCTGTGAACGATTTAACGGAACCCTGAAACAAATGATCCGCACGTTCATGGACACCCAAAAGGACTGGGAGCGGTTCTTACCCCACCTACTGTTCGCGTATCGAGAAGTGCCACAAGAATCCACCGGATTCTCTCCGTTCGAATTATTATTCGGGAGGAGAGTGAGGGGACCTCTTGACTTGATACGGGAACACTGGGAGGGAGACGAAACCGTTAATGGCACCCCTATCTTACCATATGTGCTCGAGTTCCGGGAACGCCTGGAGAGGCTAACCCAGACCGTCCGAGACAATCTCCAGGTAGCGCAACAACGACAGCGCCGATGGTATGATAAGGGAGCCAGGGACCGCAGCTTTCAGGTGGGGCAGAAAGTCCTAATCCTGCGACCCGTCCACAAAGATAAGCTGCAGGCTTCCTGGCAGGGCCCATACAAGGTGGTGGAACAGATCTGTGACACCACCTATGTGATCGGCCCGGTTACCGGCGTGGGAGGCAAACGCATGCTCCATGTGAACATGCTCAAGCCGTACCACGAACGGACGGAGGAAGTCACCGCAATCTGTGCCCCTGCCACGGAAGATTTTGATAACCTACCCCTACCCGATCTCCTAGACCAAGAGGGCCAGAGCGGAGATCTGGGAGAGGTACAGTTAGGAGAAAGATTAAATACCCAAGAACGGGCCCAGGTACAAAAGTTGCTTCGGGAAAAGAAGGCCACGTTTTCCAATTTACCCGGCTATACCCCGTTGGCTACCCATAAGGTAGAAACGTTAGATTCGACCCCCTTGCGCCAACCCCCCTACCGCACTCCAGAAGCAGTCAAGGAGAATATGCGCAAGGAAATTGAGGAGATGATCCAGCTAGGAGTAATAGAGCACTCGGACAGCCCCTGGGCCTCCCCGGTAGTACTGGTGCCGAAACGGGACGGGACGACCCGTTTCTGCGTAGACTACCGACGGCTCAACGATAAAACGACCTCTGACGCATATCCCATGCCCCGAATAGACGAACTCCTCGACAAAATGGCCAGGGGTCAGTACCTAACCACTATAGACTTGTGCAAGGGGTACTGGCAGATTCCCTTAGCGGACGACGCCATCCCTAAGTCAGCTTTTGTCACCCCGTTTGGCCTGTATCAGTTTAAGGTCATGCCATTCGGGATGAAAAACGCTCC